TGGAAAAAGGGATTAGGATATTAGCTTCTGTTTTTAAATTCTGTCCTTGGGCTGAATCCATTTATGGCTCAAGTTTGTTCCAATACTTTGGCGGTAATTTTTTTTTTCAATTTTGACAAAATGTTTTTGTATTTTTAACTTTATAAAATTCTCCAAAAATCGTTGGTTATAATTTAATAATAATAGATTTTATATTGCACTCTTTTTCTGAAAGCTTTTCTACTCCCATTCAAAGAAATCTGTGAATTATTTTTTCTCAGCAAACAAACCAATCGCACATTTTTTTTTTACAATCACAAACAGCAATGTTTGTCGATAAATTGTTACAATTGTTGCATTAATGCTAATTTTTTCTATTTCATTTTAACCTTTTAAAACATATATTAAAAAAATTTTTTTTGTAAGAACCAACTATATATTAATATTTCATTTTACTCTTTTGTTGGTCAATGTATGATTTTTGATTCAAAATGTTGTACGAAAACATTTGAAAAATAAATAAAAAAACTTGCCAAATTGTCAAAATAAATTATTTTTTTCAAGATATGTTAAAAAAAAATAACATTTTGAATAAAATATTTTATAATAAAGACACTTTTCTTGTACACATCCTACACTTTATAAGAAAAAAAAAACAAAAACCTGGAGATTTTAAGATTTTTATCTGGAAAAATCAGGGAAATTTGAAATCTGATTTGAGTGGCCCCCCTGATTATTGAAACTGCATTAATTGATAACCATAATTAATAGAAAAATATAGCTCTATCAATCAAAATGCCATTTTCATTTATGAATATAACAAGTTTTTTTTTCTTAATTCCAATTTGTTTGAAAGTCATTAGAAATTCACGTGCTCCTTTTGTAAATATTTTTTTGCATTAAATAATGACTTGTAGAAAAATAAATTTATCTTTATTGAGATATCTTGTCATTTTTATAAGCTAGTGGTTGGAAAAAATGAATTAAAAAAAAAAGTCCAAATATATGAAAAAAATTTAAAGTATAAAAAAAATGAATAAACTAAAATAATAATTGCCTGATTAGGTGTTGCCAATTATAAATATTAACATCTACATCAAAATTTTTAAAAATATAAATAACTCAAGAAATAATAACTTGTTTCCAGTTTTAACTGATATACAATATTAAGTAATCAGTATATATTGCTAACAAGTAAAAAAAAAAGCTTCTTTATTACTTCTTATCATGCTACACATTCTATATTCCGAAGTTAAAATGTTTTTTTTTTCAAGTAAGGTTAATAGTTTTTCAGATCCAATTAACTGTTCATTTTGTTATGATTAAAAAAATGCCCTTGCACATAATTATATATGTCATAAACAAAATAATATTTTTTTCCTGTTGCATAATATGGACTTTTTAAAATAAAGATGACACATGGCAATCAGGGTGGTTAGTGAGCAGGGTTTCCTAGTATTAAAAAAAAAAAATTGATGGCTATTAATGTTCCTAAGAAGTTTTTTTTTCTGTAAAAAATATACAGGGTTAACATGAATAATTTTTACAGTTTTAAAGGTCTTTTCACTAATAAATTTATGGTATTCTGATATTTTCTGAATTTTTGGTACATTACTAAAAATGTTCATTCTGAGTTATCATAGACATGCATTCAATAGCATGTTTTTACTAATGTCTACAACAACAGAAGCAGTGATGCTTTACTATGTTGTTGCCTTTGGTACTTCATGAATTTTGCCTTTCATAAGTTTATGTGTCCCAATTGCCACCCTTCGTTACATTAGTTGCCCAATTAGAAAATTATACAGATAAATCACCTATAATTATTCAAACCTACCTATTTTTATAGATTGCATTTAACAGGGAAAAAATTATTTTTATATATTTTTTAATGAAAACAGTTTGTAATTTTATGCTTGAAAGTTTATGTTACTCTGTGAAAAATGAAATAATTTCTCAATTTCTCTCTAATAAATTCATCATTAACTTGATTGCAAGATCAATATAACTATGAATCTTATAAAAAATTAAATGTTTAGCATTTTTATGCTTGAAGGTCTAAGTGAAGTACAAGAAATGATTTTTTCACAGGAAGTCAAAATTATTAATTTAGAATTACTGTAGTGCTTCTTATAAGGAGCACTGTATTTGAGGGACAATTTTGTTCCCCCTGGTTTCTTTTAATAGGGGCATTAAATGCGACACCGAAGAAAACTACAATAAGTAAGAAATGCAAGATAAAATCCCTCTCTTCGGAGAATGCTGCTTTGTGTGGAATGTTTGAAGAAAACCTACCTTGGGGCAACCAAAAAATTTCTTTTTGTGAATCAGGCAAAGATGTACATGAACTAATATTGCAGAAACAGAGACCAATTGGAAAGAAAAAGAGGTCTGATGACCGGACTATACAGAGAGAGTGATGATTTCTTAATTGAAAAAAATAGCAAGGTTCGAGCTAGGGTTCTGTTGGGAAGGGCAACTTTGTATCCATGCTATTTTTGTATGATATTTATCATATAGATGCAAAGAGTTTAACTATTAACATGAAAATAAAAAATATATGGATTATTGTGAAAAAATATGGAACATTCCAGAACAAACAAGTTTTTAAAAACTGAAATTTATGAAAATGTTAAGTTATTTGATTTTTATATTTCAAGTTATTTGACATTCATATTCATTCAAGACTTTAATACAACCACTGGTTGTTTAGACAAGTTTAAGCATTACTTTTTAAGACAATTTGTGATGAATAAAAATCAATAAAGGCAATCTAAAAACGTAAATTTTTAATTACATTTCTTTAAAAAGTTTTTCATGTACCCTTTGAATAAGGAACACCGACATGTAAGAGTTACTTCTTTCTCTGTTAAAAAGAACTAAATGTATTAAAAAGTCATTGATCAGAAAAAAAATAAGAGAGATCTCTTAAGTTGTTTAACAGTTTTAGGTGTAATAATCGATTAAAACATATAAGTGGTGAATTTATGAGTGATCATTGTCACAATACTGCTCATTGCTAATATTCTACGAATTTCCAGAATTAATTGTGATTTAGTATTCCAGATTTTCTGTGTTCTCAGATAGAGAGTGGTAACTCCACAAACCAATAGTGTTCTCAAAAATATTTAAGAATTCCCAAAAAATGTTCCACAGAGTCATAGGGTTCCGTGGAAAGGTCACAAAAGTTCTAAGAGTTAGAACTATTTTTTCCCTTTAATATCAGTAATGATTTTTGAAACATGCAACTATATTTATGTCCAGTCATTATTTAATGATCAGGTTATTTTTATGAAATTATTCAAACAAAATATCAGTGAATAAACTCGTATTATTTAAAATAAAAATAGTAAGCACTATTTTAAACATAACAATTTAAAACATTATAAACAAAAATAATAACACCAAGAGAGTGCAGTTTCCAAATGAAATCTAGTAATAACACGACATAAAATTTTATTATTAAAAATATACATAGAGATTTAAAGATAAAAATGATACACAACCTAGATCTTTACATATTAAAAATATACATACAGATTCAAAGATCATAGAGATTTGAAGATCAAAAAATGAAAACAACATATACAATGATGACACATATAATTATGCTTTTGATACTTGATTGAGTGAAAACACTTGTTGATTTCTGTCTTTCACTCTACGCTGAGCAAGTCGAGATTCAATATAAAAGAGTACCCCAGATATCAGTTCAAAGAAGCCACCTATGACACCCAAAGCAAATGACCAAGAGAGTGAATTATGATCTGGATCAGGCATCCAATTCCTTTCATCCCCATAAGCCCCAAATACAATTACTGAAATCACACTGAACACGCCTAGAAAAAAAATAGAAAAAATTAGAAGCATGCAAACTACATAGACTTGCCATTGTTCCAAACTAGCTATCTGTAATCAGGAATAAAGTAACACATATATAACGTTAACAAATTTCTAATTAACACAATTTTAAGGTACCTAATTCCATATAGGTATATACAGTATACCTAATATTAACATTATGCCTGAATTTAGTATTAAATAAAAAAAAGTAAGACTTAAGTGTTCTTTTCTTTCTCTCTCTCTTTTTTTTTTAAATATTAACTACAAACAGCGAAATTTCATAAGCCTTGGAAGTTAAGGAGAAAAAAAAACTTATTTCGTACATATAATTACAAAAATCCTCAAAAATTGTATTTTTATTACTCTACTGTAAGACAAAAATCTCGACTACGAAAACTTAATAATTGCACACAAATTATAGTAGTTGGCATTTTTTACCACATATATAAACATTTAATTAAATATAATCTAAGGATTACACTTAAAATATGTTAACTAAAATAGCATAATAAATCATTCTTATATTTTGTAGCAAACATTTTATTTTCATTAAAAAAGATATTACCTCTCTCCAAAAATATATGTATACAGCAGGGTTGGCATTTAAACCACTTGATTTAAAAAAAATTGATCAAATCAAAATATTTTTTATTTAGGATAATTTACTAATATATTTAAGTATTTTAATTTTTTTTAAAAAGTCTGATTTCATCAATAATGAAGGTTTTCAGCAGAGAAATAATGATAGAGGGTAATAAATGCAAATTGTTTAGAATAAAAAAAAAAGACTAAATGTGGATTAAAGTGATGTAAAAAACTATAACTTTCCATTATCTCTAAGCAAAATAATTTGCCATTTAACATATTAAAATGGTACTAATTAAGTTTTATGCTTATTTAGATACAAATACTTATAACAAAATACTTAAAAATAAACAGACATTTTTTACTACTGTGTATTATTTTAATACTCAATTTAAAATTATTTATAAAAATTAAAAACAACAACCATTAGGTTTAAAATGTAAAGGTTAGTGTTTTTTCTCAGCAAAAACTTTTGAAAACGTTATGCGAGCCATGCTAGATTAGGTCCAAATAAAAATTAGGAATTCTCAATCACAACGTTCAAATACACCATCAGGGGAGAAGGCCGGTTCCATGTCTTGACCCTCCCTCCTCTTTTCAGTTGTATAGGAATGTACTATGATATTTTCTACTTTCTTAATATTTTTTGTATTTAACTGTCAAAATTTTTATTTTTAAATTTCCACAATACTTTCTTTTAGAACTATGTTCAACATAGTTTTCAGTTCCATATAGTTTCCAAACATAAAAGTTTTTTTATCTATTTGAAAATCAAGACAGAAATTAACGTACTTCCTTCTTGTCTCCACGCGTTAATGGAGAAAGCCTATGAAGTGTTGCCATAGGTAGAGAGTTCTGCTCTACGCCACCTATAGCCCATTGTGATTGCCAATAAGGAATTACATTAATATTTATTTAAAGAAATCATAATTTACAATAAAATTCAAAGATAACTATAAAAAAAAATTTAAAAAAAATGATATATTGTATTACTTTCAATCTAAATTTGCTTTCAGCAAATGAGTAAATGCAATAATATGTTTTTATTATTTGGCCGACAAAACAAATATTTTTAACAAGTGACACATTAATTACTCTAATGTTATTTCTAATTCAAATATTATTGAAGATTTGTCTCTTAGTTAATAAATGCACATTAAAATTGCAACAATTGTTTTAACAAAAATTGATAATGGCATTTTTCTTAGTTAATTTCTATTTTTAAAGAATAAAACCTTTTTAGTTTGCTTCGTTTTTTTTCCATTGTGTTATACAACTACACATCAGCTTCACAGAACATCAAAAAAGTTATATAAATCTTCAGCTCTGGTTAGAAATTAAAATTTTTCACTGAGTCAGGAAAAATTCAAGAGATTGTATTAAGGTAGATCTGATTACATATAAATTTCCTTTATAGTAATCAGATGATCAAAAATGATATCCTGAAAGTTAAAATATACTTAAAATATTTACTTTTAACAAAAGCTACATTAAAAAAGACCATTGAAAGTTTATGTAAAACAAATGAAAAATTAATACAAAAATCCACCATTAGCAAATTTCTTCACTTTCTAACAAAATTATACGTTAATCCATCTATATTAGGATGATCACTTGAAATTTCATTGAGAAACTTTTTTTAAAAATTTAGTTTAAAAAAACTCTAAAAATAAAAGTTCATATTTCTAATTAAAAATAGAGTGTAATGAATTTCCAAAGAACTACATTGTATAAAATATTTGTGCAGTAGAAAATCATATGATTTATTTATTGTTTTAAATAAATGTTAAAATATCTGGTTGAGTAATGAATTAAAATTTTATCGGGTATCTTGAACCAGCCTGGTAGCAAATAAAATTTTTACCAGGTGCCCAGGACCAGCCTGGAAAGTGATATTTTTACAGGGTACCAGGTAAGTTTTTAATTTACACTAAAATTCAAATACACGAGTTTTGTTTTGATTAAACTTGTGCCTATTTTCTGTAACAATTTGGCACACAATACTCTTGGAATAAAATTCATAATCAATGACTAACACATTTTGAATCCAGAACAACTTAACTCAATGATGTAGGACAGTTTTTCCCAAAGTGTGGCATGCATACCCCCAGGGGTACGGGAACAGTTTAGCGGGAGTACGCGTTCTTATGCAAAATATCTTGCAACTAACGAAAATTTCAAAAGCTTTTATTTAAAAACAAAGCTAGCCATGAAAATTTACAATTATGTATTTTTCTATTGGCTATTTTTTGCAGAGTTAAAAGTTAATAATTAGTGGTGCTGACAGCTAGTTGTGATTTTAAACTTTTGTGCAATTTTTTTTACAGTAAAAAATACATTCATTTTTTTTATATTTGTGGTACTAAATTTTTCATACACAGCGTTACAAAAATTTAGAAAGGGTACACAAAAGTCATAAGTTTGGGAAACACTGTTGTAGGGTATAGACAGGCAAATAAGCAGCAAAACATAGACCTTTTCAATGGTTTGCATAGCAACATCTTTTATTTAGTAATTGCAATCACTACCAACAAATTCTTCTCACTTGTAGAATTAGTCATGTGAATTCATGACAAGGAAGGTGAGGACATCCTTTGTTGCTTATCTACATAAGACATTTTTAAACTATATGAAGATTAACATATAGATAGATGTTCTTTATTCTGAGAGTTGGAAATAATAATCATGACATATTCAAACATTAAGAGAAATTTATAGCTAAAACTCCAAGTTATATTCATGACAGAGTTTTATTTATCATTGAGTTATTAAAAAAAATCTTGTTAAATTAGGGCTGATCAAGATATGAGTTTAACTGTATAACTTTACACTGATTACATTAAAATAATATTTTCAACATAGCCATAATCATGAAATAAAGTGATTTATGTACATAGGTATAGAGCATATATGTATATATATATAGAGCGGCTTTAATTAGTATGGTAATAAGTTAATATCTTTTATGTCACCCCTTTAAAAGGTGCCATTTTCGCGGAATAAAATTAATATATGGAAAGCTTTAACTGGACAAAATATTTGGATCCTTCTCCGTATCATCAGAGCTTAAAAAAAGGAAATTTTTCTAAAAAAGTTTCACATTTTCACTATTAAACCAGAATGGGTAGTCGTATAAGATTCATTTAATAGATAATGTTTTCAACTTCATCTTTTATAATTGAAACTTGTTTTGAAAATAAAGACTAAATGTTTCTGTTTGATAATATTCCCAATAAAATCAATTTCTTTTAAGAGAGTGATGAAAAATGTATTCCCTGTAAGGTGTTAAAGTATATTACACTAATTAACTGATGAGGCCACTCCTTAACTAATTTATAAGAAAGAAATAGAAATACTTACCAGCTGTAAGAACAAGAGCTGTCAATAATTTGAGAACAAATACATCTTTGTCAGAAACAAGGCACAAAGTGAACACCATAAGCACTAGACATGCCAGAAGCATGCACACCAATCCTAGAGTGAAGAGGACTTGAACTGCAATGAAGAATGCTACAGGGAAAATACAAAAAAATATATGTTAGTCACATAAATGTGTATTTACTACCTTTGCCCTTAGTAAATGCAGTTTAACTTCAATCTATTGTTCCTACATTTTCTGTTTTCCTGGATATATTGTATAACAGTTCCATCACAAATGCTATTCTTATAATATTATTACTAGTTTAGTTTCTAAACTCAAATATTTCCGCATCTTTCATTCAAAATTTTTACTCAGAATTGAATAAAGAGGGAATTTATTTATTTATTTTTTTGGAGAAAAAATAGTCACTCCTGATTGCATTTGACGAAGAAAAATAGGATTTGTAACAGCTAAGGTAAAATATACCAAACATTACCTACATTTGATGTTTATGCTTCAGTTAATAAAAATGGTGACTTTCGTAAAGTGCTCAGTCACATTTTTCAAAAAAAAAAAAAAAAAAAAAAACACAACTTAAGCACCTTAAAAAATATTTTAAGCACTTTAAAAAAGATAATTAGGATATGTACATCAATAAAATTTTTATCTCCTTATTGCCGAAAGTTTTAGATTATTAACAAAATGCAAAATAGTTTCATAAGACTTGACATGTTTATGATAGAATAACTAGTTTCACAGAAAGAACTTGTTTCTTAACTATATTAACCACCATAAAAACAATTTATACACAATTTTAAATATATTCAATATTGAGTAATTCCATTTTTTTAGTCAATATTTACTTTAATTACATTAAAAAAAATTTGATTCAAAATTATAATTTAAATATTATTAAAAAAAAGTTTTCCAGGAATTTTTAGATTTAAACAAAAGTAATTTACAAAAGCATATTCAACAAACATTAACAAGATTAATATTTTTGATCATACCGAATTAAGAAAAACGTGCAAAGAATTAAGCAAACTAAGAAAACTTTAATAAATTTATATAACAATTGTAAATTATTGAATGGTCTCTAATAAAATACTATAATTTTGTTTTGGTCAGTTTTTAACTAAATGATTAGAGTTTTGCTTAAAATATTTTTGAAACATCAATACAATGAGTAGTTAAATTAAATATTTTGCCAGAAATAAATTATATGATTTTTACATTCATAATATTTAAGAAATCTTAGATAATTAAATTTTTATTTCAATTATTTTTTAATCAAAACATTAAGAGATAAATTAAAGTTTTTTGGAATGGCAAATCTAAATAACTGAAGATTTTTTGCTGCATTTAAAACAGTAAAAGACCCTCACTTTATACTTTTTAAAATTTTGCCTCTAAATATTATTGAGTTTTTTCATAGCACTGAAAATTGTAAAACTAATATATTATAATATTATAAGTAAGAAAAAAGTAATTAAGTAAAATAAAAGTCTAAAATTTTTGTGTGCAAGTAGTGGAAGGTCTCTCAGGTAAAAATCTCAATTGTTATCTTTATTTAACTAGATGAATAAAAGGGAGACAGAAATTTTGAGTGGATGGAGCTTTGTGACTCTTAACGATCTAGGGACCCACATGAAAGTATGTTATCAGTGAAAGATACCCAAGTTAAGTTCAAAGATAATGGCACTATTCCATAAATAGCACAGGAAAAGAAGGCCATTAGCTTGCCAGTGATGAAGATAATGGTGCTTCACCAAATTAAATTAACAGGAGAAATAAATAAAAAAAATTTTTTTTTTGCTAAATTTTAATTTGAGAAAAAAATTTGTCAATCTCTAGTTGGTCCCCGTGAACAGCAAAAATTCAAGAAATTTTTGCCAGGAAAACCAATGGATTGAGGTTCTACTGTACCAAAAATCAGGTCATAGTTTTAGGTAATTTTTATAGCATGTAACCATAAAAAAATTAAAGGTTTAGATCTAAACATAAATAAGATGTTGCCAATTGGTGTATAATTTTCTTCATGTTTCGAAAATTTTTGTTTTCTATAATTTAAGAAATTTTAGAAATGTACATATTAATATAAGGATAAACATGTTAAGAATTTACAAATAGCTTAATATCATTTTTTTTTTTTTTCATTTTAAAGAATTCTATTTCCCCTTCCTTTCTCTGTTTTGCTTCAATTTCAGAAGCATTATTTGAAGTGCAAATTTATTATAATAACATAAAATTCCACAACTTTTGGAGATTTAGAACATTTGGATATTTTTTTTACAATTAAGTAACATACATAAATTATTCTGTTTTAGTAATACTTGTTTTATCCAGCCTTTAACAAAATGTTATTCTAAATGGTCTAATCAGCATAATGAATTTATACACAAAAAGATTAAAGAGTGTCTTATTCACATATGAAAAAATCACCAGATTTTCATCTTTTAAGGATAATTGATAAAGAAGTTTTGGTTTTAATACTTTTTTTTAATTATAAATGGATCAATTACTAATCACATTTTTTTCTTAATCATAAGATATTCATATTATATGTACCATATCTTTATTGGGAGATTTGTACTATTTTAAATAAAAACTTGCTTTTAGTAAAAAAAGAAAACAGTAATCCTAGGTCATAAATCAAGAGTTGTAGTTTCTGAAGTCTAGTGGTATCATGGCACATCATTGCTGATTTTCAGAAACGATGCAATATTAACTGTTGATCAGCAATAATGAAAAGTAATTTATAATTTATTAACCATACATAACCACCAAAAAGAAAATTTTTATAAATTGTTAGTATACTTAATCCATTTTAAAGAATTAAATAGAATCTTACAAATCAGATACCTAATTGATTGAGATAATAGGTCTTGTGTTGTTTAAATAGAAATAGGTACCTAAGGTATATCTTATATGGTCCTTCCCAAGGAATAAGCACCAGATTATGCAATATTGGTATCAATTCATAGAAAAAACTAAATAATTTACAATCATGTATGGTATGATAAAAAAGTAAGTATAAATAGTATATCAGAAACTCAACTTTTACTATCATTAACCGATTTAATCTATCAGTGGAAGTAATGGTGACCGGTGAAAACACTTGTGGCGTAGCAAGCTTTATTTGCTTATATTGGTTTTTATAATGGAAGAATATATACACAAATTTTGCAACTACAATTAAGAAGCTTTTGCTATGATGTACTCAACATTGTGATTTCACCATTTTGTCTGTCAGGGATAAACAGCACGAAATTAAGTGCATCTTGTATAGCAAGATCTTAATAATACAAACATACGAAACGACCAAATGGAAGAATTATAAGGAAAAAATTTTGTAACAGTATCTACACCAAAATAATTGCGAAGTTTAAGCAAATTTCGGCAAATACTCTATGAGAAACAAAAATATAACATCACAGAAATGGACCACTCAAATGGTACACAAAACACAACATATTTTTAAAAAAAATTTATGCTAGTTTAAAAAAGAAAAATCCTGTGGCACCTTGACAGAATTAGTGGATGCGAATCGATACCGATAAGGCAACGTTTTCTTTTAACTATAGATGAGCTTTTTTTTAAGAGTTAGAAACAAATAGGATACTTACGTGGTGAGAGAAAATGCTGGATAAAATTGTAGTCTTCATCGAAAATCCACTTACAGCCATGGAATTCACGATCATAACGATAGTAGATGTCCACAAAACGCTTAAAACAAGCTTCCCATAAACCTAATTTTTGGAATTTTTCCACAGGTGCTCTCCCATCTGAAACTAACCAATATGGGGTTGTGAAGGCTATAATGATGAATATCGCACTCACACCAAGGAAAGCAGATGCTGTAAGCATCACAGGAGGAAATTTGCCACTACCCATTCCTGATTTAACCATTTTAAGGGACTAAACAAACCTTTAATATCAAGGTATAAGGTAACTCATTTTTAAAACTGGGTTATAATTTATAATTGGGGACAATGAAAACAACAAATAAAACAAAATGAATAAATTAAAAACAATAATTACAAGTAAAAAATTAAGCTTTTGCTTTCGTCAAAATGGAATTTGTGAAAATCTAAACTAAAATAACTCTACCACACCCAATAATCAAAACAACTCTTCGTTCAACCGAAACACAGTATAACAACGAACATCCACAGGTAAAAACAAAAAACGAAAGGAACTAATCGTACAGGTGTGTTGTCGTAAATATCGATTCCGACGATTAATATCGACTCACATTTTAATTTGAGGTTACTTCATTATTTTCCATTCTTTGTTTTATTTGTAAGAATATTACTAATTCTGAAATTCCAAATTGATCAATATAATTTTAATAATTCTCCTTTTCATATTAATTTTGTCTTTGATTTTGATATTAAGAAAACATGGCTTGCCTAAGCAACTTATTTTGTTAGAAGAATTAGATAGCCGGAAGTCTATGAAGCAGACCGTTACGTAATATAAATAAACAAAATAGTGTTTTTGAACACATGTAAACACAATTTGGTTCTTTTTAATTACATTTTTATACATATAACTTTGACGACAATGGCTGATGGGTTATTTTTGATGCAAAGGTAAACTTTTTTTGCTGGGCTTAACTTCCCTGAATTATTAATTATGGGCGATTGCTAGAAATGCGTGTAAATAGTATGTCTAATAACTAAATTTCAAGTAGTAATAATAGTAACTAGAATAAATTTTGAATCTTGTTTTAAAATCTTATAATTATGAATTTTGATGGATATTGAATATTCGGTGAACAGGATATATTCTGCCTCCCGGACGAAATATTCTGTATACTCAGTCATCAAATATTTCGCTTTATGAACAATAAGATTTTAATGGTAAACGTGCTACAAAAGGTTGGAAGATGTTTAAATTTTAAGCAATCTAAAGCATTGTGATGTAATACTGTATGTATTAAACCATGATTAAAATGAATTATTTTCATTCGATAAATAAATTCTGTAGAATATACAGCAAATATTATAATCTGGTTAGTATTTATTTGTGAATTACTTTTCTAAAACTACAAATGTATTAAAATGACTGTATTGTATTAAAGGTATTCCATTAGTTATTTTTATGTTACTCAAACCAAAACTTGTATAAGTATTCAGACAATTTATCTACAATAAATTGAAATAAGTTCGACACTTTGTTAATTATTGTTAAGTTGATATTTCCGAATTTGTATCTTTGTGCGTCAATTTAAATCGGGGGAGATTTCCGTATCGTAATCTGTGGCAGAATAATCGCCAAGTCTAGGAAACTTCCGGGCAGTGATCCACGAGAAACTAGAAAAAATATTACAAAAAGGGACCAACTCTAAAGTTATAACTCTTAGCTACCTACATGTTTTTTTTAAAAAACAAATTTGCAAGTTTATAATCTATTTGGCACCTTGGCGATTGTAGTTAGCGCAACAGATCACGATTTGTTAAACTTATGAGAAAAATGCATTATAAGTCATAATGCCACTTAAGTCATAAAAAATATAAATTGGATTATCTTGCAATTTTATTTTAAAGAAATGAATCATATAAGCATTTCTCACCTTAACTTACTACTTTTCGCTAATACTGTCCTTTGTTAAAAATATAACATTTAATAAATCTTTTGATTCAATAGAAAGAAGAAAACATAATTATTTATTATGTAAACATAAGAAAATTATTGTTGTAACTCAAGTGTTGATATATTTATATTATTTTACAGGGAAAATACAAATATTTATCATTGTATAGTTTTATTTTTCAAATTGTAAAAGAACTTGATATTCTGAATGTAGAATAGAAACAAAAATTAGTGCACTAAAAGTTTTTTTTTTAAACATTATTTTATAAATGAATTCTAGAACTTCTTAGTGGCTCTTTACACATTCACAAAAAAGGATCTTTCACAAAATTTGAAACTACTATTTTTTAAATAGTACAGTGCCCGCCATTTATTAAAATCACTTTCGTTTTATGCTCTTTTGATTTTATTAAGCAGCTGATTTTATTAGGAGGCGATTCAACATTCGAAGAAAAGAAAAAATCACATTTTTACAATATATTCTAAATGCACACACTTTAAAAGCTGAAATAATGACAACATTAATGCTTTATTTTAACTAATTTAATTTTTTTATAAAGTAAAACCCTATATAAGATTAAATTTACAAAAATTTTGCAAAAAACCGATCAATGGTTGCTTGAGTTGCAGTATTCAGGGATGTGATTCTTCCGCGGATTCGCGGATTTCCGCTTTTTTCCAGATTTTTCCATTTTTCCCGCTAATTTCCGGAGAAATTTTTTTTGGAAAAAGTTAAAATATTTTATGAAGAATTTAATTTTCCACAGAGCGAAAGTATTGAAACTATGGTGAACAACGTTTAAGAGCACAAAAAATATTTATAAATGCAGACAGCTGTTTCGGATGCTCAAAGGGTAACCTTCATCAGTGCAATAGGACTGATTGCACTGATGAAGGTTGCCCTTTGAGCATCCGAAACAGCTATCTGCATTTATAAATATTTTTTGTGCTCTTAAACGTTGTTCACCTTAGTCTGATAAGTACTGTTATTTAAAATGCATCACCAAAAATCGTCCGAAGCAATAATAATGTAATATCAAACATCAATTTTAGTATTTATACGTGCTTTAAAAATTAGACATTGTGATTTGTATTCGCGCGATTTAAAAATTATGCACTGTGATTCCTATTTACGTGATCTAAAAATTACGCTTCATGATTTGTGTTTTCGCATTTTTTAAAATTTGATATCGAGTTTTATATTCGCGTGATTTAAAAGCCTCATATCGAGATTCATATTCTCTCAATTTGAAATCATGCATGTGATTCGTATTCATATATTCATGCAATTTTAAAATTAATCATCGGAATTTATAATCACATGGCTTACAAGTTTAAAAGTCGCACCTTTTTTGTCAAATTTTTGTGTGTGTATATATATTAGGGTGCGTAGCGTTTGTAAAAAGTACTTAAAGGTGCTTTCTGGGGGATTTCATTTTTAAAAGCTTTTAAAGGTGCTTTTTTCAGCTGGCGTTTTTAAAAAGTGCTTTTTTTCACGAATAATTTTTTTTCCCTTCAGTGATATCTGGCGGATCCCCTGCATTTCCCGAAAAATGGGGTGTTTGCTACGTAATCATTCGCACGGACTTCATGTNCTTTTCTGACTTCCATTGAAGATGGCACTGATGAGTTTATTTCATCTTCTGAGTCTGATTCCTCCATTTCTTGATTGGAAATAACTTTGCAATTTTTGATGTCTGTAACGATTTCAGAATCAGATTTTTCTCCTGATGTCTGCAGGTTATCGTCAATAGCTACGTAACGTGAAAAATTCTCGTCCATTTCATTTTCTTTATTGCTGAGCATTTCTTCGAAACAGTTATCAGTTCCATCCACAGTGCTAAATCCATACTTTTTAAAGCAATTTGATATTGTTTGGGTTGAAACAATGTCCCATGAGTTACGGATCAAATGCATTGATTCTAAAATAGTAAGGGATTTCGATAGTTTGTTTGCAGTTAAGAGTTCCGAAGAGCTGTCGCAGTCTATGTCACTAATGATTTTTTGATCAACCATTTTTCTGTAATGAAACTTGAATGATCTTATGATTCCCTGATCAAGAGGTTGAAATATAGCTGTAGTGTTGGGTTGCAAAAACACTAATTTAATGTTTTTCAAACGCAAGTCCTCATCAGCAGGGTGCGCAGAACAAATGTTATGTCCATGCGTTATAGCTGTTGGCATAACTGGTGGGCAGGTGTTTTACTCCTTCAAAACATCGAGGTTTTAAACTATTTCCTATCTCTAAAGGTTTTTTTCCACAGTTCCTGTCATGTTGCATGTTAGCAGCACAGTTAGTCTTTCCTTTATTTTTTTGCATCCACCAGTCAATTCATTTTTAAACAGCAGTGTGTGTTCAGGAAGTGCTCGGAAAAATAATCCTGTTTCATCTGTGTTGAAAATTTGCTTTGGTTTATAGTCTTTGATGAGTGTTGGCCACATGTCGTTTGCCCAATCGACGGCAGAGCTAAAATCAGCATCTAGCTTTTCACCATGCAATTTATGATAGACAATGTTGTTGCGGTCTTTCCATCGGGTTAGCCACCCATCTGTAGCTTTAAAATCAGAATAACCAAATAGGTTAGCAAAGTCCTGTGCTTTCTGAAATAAAACTCCACGGGAAATTGGAATTCTTCGTTCGTGTGCATTTTTGAACCATTCTAAAAGAGCCATTTCAATTTCCTCCGATTTTCCTTCACGCTTACGCTTTCTTGAAAGATTTCCATTCTTTTTTATTTCCTCGGGAATATTTATCCTTTGTTTCAGAATGTTGAAAAGAGCAGTTTGGGAAATTCCTAATTTAATTGAAGCTTCACGTTGACTACTTTTTGGAAGCTTATCATATTTTTGCAACACTTCGAGTTTATCTTTAAGACTCAAATCCTTCCTTTTCGGCATGCTGATAAAATTTAACACCACACGAACTTAAAAATGATACGTGCTCTAACTCTAACTATAATTTACTCAAACGGCTTAAATAATATGGAATTTATTATCCGGTGATTTTATTAGCCGCGGGCACTGTACTATAATAAAGATTCTATTTTGTTTCCATTCTTCTGTCCAAACTCAAAAGATAAATTTCATATGTATGACAATTGACAATCTGCACTATTGTTAAATTTATAGAATTGTTTTGTTACCATTTAACTAGGTTATTTTTTCCCTATAAATATTGGAAAATATACTTTAATGATTTTAAAAATGAATAATATAAGCATAAAGTACAAACACATAGGAATTACTTGCCAAAAAATGTGCTTAAATCCATCAAAGTTTTAGTGGGTTAAATTCTCATTAATTTTTCCTCAGCATAAGCAACTTAGATAGATGCCAATTTATCTACTTGCTGATTTTGGTTATTATGATTTTGGTAATAATGAAATAAATATGTTCAGGGTCTGGGGCCGATGTGTAACTTGGCACCCTGCTTATACTAAAGTAGCTAAAATATACCTATATTCAGAAATATTAAAGCTATTTATGAAATTGAGTTCATTAAAAAAAAAGCTTCTGAATTTTTTTTAAAAAATGCAGGTCGTTGGGCTACCGAAGCGGGGTTGCCATCCTCTCCGCAGAGGATCAAAATTGTGATGGCATGTCTTCGGATCATCCTCAGGGATGTTTCCCAGACCGTCGCCAATAGCCCATTGTGCAGCTCTAGTGCGACGTAAATGAACTACTACTGCTACTTAAAAAAATAATTTAATTAAATTCTAAAATATAATTGTTTNACTGTCTTCCATTTCTTGATTGGAAATAACTTTGCAATTTTTGATGTCTGTAACAATTTCAGAATCAGATTTTTCTCCTGATGTCTGCAGGTTATCGTCAATAGCTACGTAACATGAAAAATTCTTGTCCATTTAATTTTCTTTATTGCTGAGCATTTCTTTGAAACAGTTATCAGTTCCATCAACAGTGCTAAATCCACACTTTTTAAAGCAATTTGATATTGTTTGGGTTGAAACAATGTCCCATGAGTTACGAATCAAATGCATTGATTCCAAAATAGTAAGGGATTTCGATAGTTTGTTTGCAGTTAAGAGTTCCGAAGAGCTGTCACAGTCTATGTCACTAATGATTTTTTGATCAACCATTTTTCTGTAATGAAACTTGAATGATCTTGTCTTATGATTCCCTGATTAAGGGGTTGAATAATAGCTGTAGTGTTGGGTGGCAAAAACACTAATTTAATGTTTTTCAAACGTAAGTCCTCATCAGCAGGGTGCGCTGAACAATTGTATAAAAGTATGACGACTTTTTCATTTTTCAGCTCCTTGTCCCATTCAAGAAGAAATTTTGTGAAGATGCTGGATGTCATCCATGCATTGCATAACTGGTGGGCAGGTGTTTTACTCCTTTAAAACATCGAGGTTTTAAACTCTTTCCTATCACTCAAGGTTTTTTTTCACAGTTCCTGTCATGTTGCATGTTAGCAGCACAGTTAGTCTTTCCTTTATTTTTTTACATCCACCAGTCAATTCATTTTTAAACAGCAGTGTGTGTTCAGGAAGTGCTCGGAAAAATAATCCTGTTTCATCTGTGTTGAAAATTTGCTCTAGTTTATAGTCTTTGATGAGTGTTGGCCACTTGTCGTTTGCCCAATCGGCGGCAGAGCTAAAATCAGCATCTTGCTTTTCACCATGCAATTTATGATAGACAATGTTGTTGCGGTCTTTCCATCAGGTTAGCCACCCATCTGTAGCTTTAAAATCAGAATAACCAAATAAGTTAGCAAAGTCCTGTGCTTTCTGAAATAAAATTCCACGGGAAATTGGAATTCTTCGTTCGCGCGCATTTTTGAACCATTCTAATAGAGCCATTTCAATTTCCTCCGATTTTCCTTCACGCTTATGCTTTCTTGAAAGATTTTCATTCTTTTTTATTTCTTCGGAAATATTTATCCTTTGTTTCAGAATGTTGAAAAGAGCAGTTTGGGAAATCCCTAATTTAATTGAAGCGTCACGTTGACTACTTTTAGGAAGCTTATCATATTTTTGCAACACTTCGAATTGGTCTTTAAGACTCAAATCCTTCCTTTTCGGCATGCTGATAAAATTTAACACCAAACGAACTTAAAAATTATACATGCTCTAACTCTAACTATTATTTACTCAAACGGCTTAAATAATATGGAACATGCGCACAGACAGTTTTTTGAAATCTATTCATGTTTTCTGTTAAGATAGATAACAAAAGAAACTTCTCTCCCTTCTATGGTTCATTCATTAAAAAGTAAGATAAGAATTTGACCCCCTGTTGAGTGAGATAGGTTTATCCAAACTTCATTCAAGTCAAGGAATTGACAGTGATAAATTGATTTCTATGAACTCACAGCTTACCACCCACATTTTTCCTTAACTCTTACGCTATGTATATCTCAGGAAAGTGCTAACCACACCTGTTTCACAGGTTTGTGAGTAACTGTTGCTTCTTCTAAAAAAATCTTTAAACTTCAAAAAAATAAAATTTTATAAATAAGAACAAAAAAAGCTGGAATATTGCACTTTTGATTTATTATGTAGTCAAAATTTTGATTTTAAAAAGCGGCATCATTGATTTTATTAAAGAATGTTTTTAACATGTATTATTATTGTAACGATTGGGTTCTTGCCGATTTGATTTTATAAGCGGCGGGCACTGTACTATAATAAAGATTCTATTTTGTTTACAGTCTTCTGTCGAAACTCAAAAGATAAATTTAATATGTATGACAATTGACAATCTGCATTCTTGTTAAAAGTTTAGAATTGTTTTGTTACCATTTAACTAGGTTATTTTTGTAATTTTTTTTCCTATAAATATTGGAAAATATACTTTAATAATTTTAAAAAATGAATAATATAAACATAAAGTACAAACACATGGGAATTACTTGCCAAAAAATGTGCTTAAATCCATCAAAGTTTTAGTGGGTTAAATTCTCATTAATTTTTCCTCAGCATAAGCATTTTAGATAGATGCCAATTTATCTACTTGCTGATTTTGGTAATAATGAAATAAATATGTTCAGGATCTGGGGCCGATGTGTAACTTGGCATCCTGCTTATACTAAAGTAACTAAAATATACCTATATTCAGAAATATTAAAGCTATTTATGAAATTGAGTTCAAGTTAGACATTAAAAAAAAAACTTTTGAATTTTTTTAAAAAAATAATGAAATTAAATTTTAAAATATAATTGTTTTTGTCAGCAAAAGCATCATGCATAAAATTCTGAATGCCAATTAACTAGGACAGTAAGATAAAGTGATAGTAAGAACCATCAAATATGTAAATACATATATGTAAGAACCATCAAATTTAAAAATAAGAAGAAACATATAAAAAATTTTGTTTTTGCAAAACTCGTTAATTTTTTCTGTCCAAACATCAACAGGAAATTTTTACTGTCTCTTTAGATGTTTACAAAAAATTTATTAAAAAATCAAACAAATTAATTAAAAAAATAATTTTTATATCATTTTTCTCAATATTCCAAATTATTTATCCCAAAATTTCATATTACATTTCATTAAAATTCTAAAAAAATAAAAATTTATAGGAAATCCAGATTGACCCATAAATAATTTTGTTCTGAACTCATTTTTAAATGTGATAACTGATTTTTTTTATTTAGATATTATGGAAGTGATGAAGAGTCAAAGCTAGATAACTCAGAAAAGAAGCGGAGAAAGTCAAATGAACTTAAAAGAAAGAGAAAAACTTCAGTCTCTGAAAATGAGCATGAGGCTATATCTACAACAGAAGTAAAAGATAAAAATGCTGACAAGATTCAAGATATCTCTACTACAAAAGTAAAACATAAAAAAGCTGACAAAATTCTAGATAAATCCATTACAAAAGTAGAAGATAAAAATGCTGACAAAATTCAAGATATGTCTGCTTCCAAAAAAGAAGAAAACAATATTGACTTCCACACAGAAGATGAAGTAAACAATTCTGTAAATTTAGAAAATAACAGTGAAGCCTTTTGTGTCATAGGCCCAAAGAGAAATCAAAATATTCAAAAAATAAAACCAAATCTACCAAAATGGATTAGAAATCCCTCAATCATTAGTATTGATTTGAGAGAACAGGAAATCCCCATCTCAGACCTTAAATTTTTAGATGACAGCTCTAAAAAAAACTTAACTGAATCTGGAATAAAATTTTTATTTCCTGTACAGCTGGGAGTCATTCCATGGTTGATGCAAAATAATCACAATTCTTTTGTTAGACCTCACGACTTGTGCGTCTCTGCTCCCACAGGAAGTGGCAAAACTCTTGCATTCGTAATACCCATTGTGGAGTCCTTGAAAGAACGAACGGTGTGCGCAATACGTGCCGTGGTCGTTCTTCCAGTGAGTGAGTTGGCCATGCAGGTCTGCAAAGTATTTGAGTTATTCGTGAAAAACACTGACTTGAAAGTGGTGCTTCTAACGGGTCAGAAGTCTTTTCAAGCTGAACAAAATGCTCTCATCAAACATGGAACTTATGGAGTTTTAAACTTAGCAGACATAGTTGTCACTACACCAGGAAGAATATTGGATCATATTCAAAAGACTGAGGGATTCACCCTTCAGCATTTGAGGTATCTTGTTATAGATGAAGCTGACCGAATGGTAGAGGACATACTGAAAGGATGGCTGACGAAAATTCAAGAAGCAACTTTTAGAGACTGTGATGAATGTGCATGCTTCTCAGTTTGTGACAAGAAGACACAGTCTGGACAGTCCAATGCATGTAGATTTGGGCGCACGAGTCATTCGTTTCAGAAGCTGTTGTATTCGGCTACCCTTTCGCACGATCCAGAAAAATTACACTCGCTTTCTTTGTACAGACCAAAGTTATTTATTGCGAGCGAGAAACTGAACTCTGAGTATTCGACAGGTAGGTGCTCCCTTCCTGAAAATTTGATTCTTCAGCATATTATTTGTGAAACAGAAATAAAACCTCTTGTCCTCTGCCATTTTATCAAAAAATATAAATTTAAGAAGATCCTTTGCTTTACTGAGAGTGTTGAAAGAGCGAACAGATTACAACTGATCTTAGAGGAGATGGGGCTCCTTCGATCCAGAGAAATATCTTCCAACTACAGACCAGTTCAGCGTAAAATAATATTGAAACAGTTCAACTCTAAAAAAATAGACGTCATTGTTTGTTCAGATTTAGTCGCAAGAGGAATAGATATAGAAGGCGTAGATTGTGTCGTGTCCTATGATGTCCCGCCTCACCTGAAGACATATGTACATAGGGTGGGAAGAACGGCAAGAGCGGGAAAGGGAGGAACTGCAGTTGCCCTGGTTTCTAAAGATGAATTTCCTAGCTTCAAGAAAATGCTCTCTGATGCAGGTATGGCTCTTCCTATCAACTTACCAGTAAATGCTCAGCATTTAAAAGAATATGCAGAAACTTTCCAAAAAGCACTTCAAGCTGCCGATGCAAAATTTAGGTAAGCAAGTTTTGATTTTTATTTGTTTGTTTTTGATTCTCAATAATAATGGATAGTCATATTACCTTTATTTACATTATTATTACGATTCTTTATGTATATAAACATATATATAAAGAACATATAAAAGATATTCTCTTAATTTCTAAATCTGCACACAGAATCCTAAAGTATCTGCAATATATGTATCAACAGTTATCCTTAAAAGTAAGGGGTGAACTTTTTTTTTCATCACTTTGTCTACAGATTCTGAAACTTTTGGCTGCACACATTCAACAAAAAATGATTGAAAAATAAATGAATTTACAGTTGATTGTGGCTTCATGAAAAAATACTTGTAATTTTAGCAGAAAAATTATTATAAATAGTTTAAAAAATTATAATTATTTTAATTTTCATAAATAAAAATATTGATTTTCTTTTTAAGCTTATTTTATGAAATTTAATGCTTGCATATTAAATTTAAAATAAGTAAAAATCATCAAAATACTAAGACATTATTTTTGTGTGAAAGGGCCAATCATTTTACATGTTTGTACTTGATGAATCACTTGCAGTTCTGCATGTGCGTATACTGAACTGGATTTAGTGGGAAGGATTCTGGTCCTTTCATGTGTAACTCTGCTGCATTTTGCAAGAGATTCTCAATTTTAGGCTTTATTTTCCGCCCTCTGAAATCGAACTGAACAATTTGTGAAAGTTTTACTGATCACAGGAACCAATTAAACATTACCAAATTTTCTTTCCCTGAGACTATAAATTTTTTTTATTTCTCTTGCTAATTTTATAGTTGGTAAAGCATCATAATCTGCACTGGCAAGATAATGGCTTTCTCGTGCTATATTATTTATAGATCAAAACCATAATCTTTAAACTTGACTTGAGGATCATTCACTAATTATGTATTTCCATGTGGGTCCCCCAGAGCAGTCAATAATAACAAAGCTTAACCTTTTTAAAATTTGTATTTCCCTTTTGTTCATTTTGTTGTATATATAGAGGTTTTTAAACGTAAGATTTATACATGAGGGACCATTCACTAATTGCATAATTTTTTAAAACTTTTATTGTATTATAAGTTTTACAATTTTCAGTGCTATAAAAAAGCTCAATAACATTTCGAGGCAAGATCTTTTAATAAAATATGAAGTGAGGGACTTTATTGTTTTTTAAATGCAGTAAAAAATCTTATATTATTCAGATTTGCCATTCCAAAAAAAAACTTTAATTCATCTCTTAATATTATGAGTGTAAAAACCATATAACAATTAATTTCTAGCAAAAAATATTTAGCTTCAATACTCATTGTATTTTTATTTCAAAAGTATTGAAATTTTTTTTAACCATTTGCGAAAATATTGAACCAAAACAAATTATAGTAAATATTTATTAGGTATCATTCAACAATTTACATTTGTAACATGACTTTAAAGTTTTCTGACTTATCTTAATTTTTTACGTATGCAAAAAATTACATTTGTAAAATACACTCGAAAACCTTTTTAAATAGTAGTTAGTTTTCATTTTGAATTAAAATATTTTTACATAATCAAATAAAGTAATTAATAATTTAAAAATAGAATGAGCCACGCAATATTGAATATATTTTAAATTGTGTATAAATTGTTTTTATGGTGCCTAATATAATCAAGAAAAGAGTTCTCACTCAAAAAATAGGTATTTTTTGAGAAAATAATAAGAATTGGGGGAAGAAAAAAAAATTAACATAATTTTTAAAACAATAATTTTATATAAACGGTGCAATATCAAATTTAAATTTTTGTTTTAGAATGAAATATGAACTCTTGGATATTAGAACTATTAATAAAACATCTATTGTTAGCACCAAAATTGGCATGAGAATTAGCAATTGCTGCTATCAACTTATCTCTATATTTGTCCTTACATTTCATTCTACTCAGATTGCATTTGATTTTTACAAATTAGTTCGGATTTTTCAGACAAGTTTTTTTTTTTTTTTGGTTTTTGTTTAATTAGGTTAAAGCCTCCCCATTAATGTTTGATTTGCATTTTTTGTCATTTTCTGTTAAGCTCAGTATGAGTGCTACGACCTCCATCTATGCTGTGTTTCTATGAAATTTTTTAAATTTTATAATCGTAATTAAAAACAATTTGGAATATTTAATCCATTATATTTTCTTTGCAGGAAACAGAAAAATACAAAACGTAGTAATGCTTCAAAGAAGACGCATAGAAGAAAGTCAAACATAAAAACCTAGCCATTAGTTTATATCATTATTATTTCTCCAATAAACAAATGTTTTTATTAAACTTTTGCGTTAATGTTTTTTTCTTCCTGTTCTTATTGCAGTCAATACTGAATAGATTTAATACAGAAACATATATTTTAAAGAAATTGCAGTACAAGTTATTGTTGTACTACTATTATTGATTATATTTAACAGTTTCTTTTTTCTTACCTAATTAAGGAGATAGTTGAGTTTTTCAAATTGAAAGTTTATCCATGCATTGTGCCTCCTTAAAAACAGTTTTGAGTTTATGAAGCATTCATATACTTTAAACATGTTAAAAAACATTTTTGAAATACTTAAATTTTAGTTTAAGTTATATGTTATGGAGATCTGTATGTATAGAATTATAAGTGCATTTTACTAGGTCATAAAAGATGAAGTTCAACAGAAGCTCCCAATATTTTTTTATACATTCTAAAAGTGATGTTTGCAAATTCCTTAAGTGTCAATCAACATGTAGTTCAATCGTAGCATTGGAAATACAATGCAGAAGAAAACAATAATTTCATACATCATAAAACTTTAATTAACATTATGATTGTGAAATTTTTTTTCATCAAACGTGCATGCATATATAAGGGAGTTGAATCACATGAATTCTAAAACTATGTACACAGCAGAAAATCTAAATGAATCTTAATTCTTTTATGCCAACAACAACAAATTTAGTGAATTTGTCAATGAACAAGTATGTACAGACACATAAATATTTATATACACAAAACACTGAGTCCTAATTTGAAATGGTTTTGGTCTTCACTTATTTTCAGGATCTGAAACAAACATTAAAATATTTAATGACTTTCTTTTATCAGAGTAGTAAAAATTACGATATTTAATTTTGAAGATCAATTCTAATTAATGATTTTTTTTAATAAAAAATAAACTACAGGGAATAAAGTAAATATTGAATAAATAACATAATATTTATTTAAAAAAATTTATGAATTTTAGAAACTTTTAAAAAATTGCATTTGCTTTTTTTAGGAAAAGGAGCGAATTTATGTATAAATATCTCTCTCTCTCTATATATATAGCGCGAATGAAAGGAGAGAGAAAACAAAGAAAATTAGTTTTATTTCCCTTTCTCTCTCTATATATATATTTAAATCTATATGTATATATATATATATACATATAGATTTAAATTTCATAAATACAACAAAAAGTCAATAGCAAATTTTTAACGTATGTTATGTTTTTTTTTTTTTTTTTTTTTTTTTTTTTTGCTTTTGCAGCTAGAAGGTGCTACTAAGAAAATTAAAATAATCATAAGAAATTGATTTAGAGAAAAGCACTAAAATTCTAATTTCTAAAATTAAAAAAATTTCAAAAAATCAAAATAAAATAATTTTTTTTTTACTTTGAAAACTAAAGCTAGAACACACTAAAATTATTTAGCTTATCTTTTTATTACTTATTCTCCATTTTTGTATTTATTTATTTAATGTTCAAATGTGCCAAAGAAAGTGAAAAAGAAAAAAAAAATATTATTCAATATTAAACAAAATTTTTATTCAAATCTTAGATGATAGATTAAATACTTTGACAGATTTTTTTTTTAAAATAAAGTTATTAAGAACTGTAGTGGGTAACAAAAAAAAATCATATAGGATTTGGATAATTACATTCAGATATTACCGCATATCTTGTTTAAACAATTTATTAATAAATTTTAAATGGAATATCTAAAAAAAATATTGCCGAAAGCTGAAATTTTCATTATGGATGCTAAAGTATGGGACATTAATATAAGTTTTTTTTCTTTCTTTGCAAATTATTACTTAAAAACCTTTAATTTATGAAGTGAGTAAGAGCCTTTCTCCTGCATCATGTTTTTTATTTTAAACTTTGTCTGTAAAAAAAAATGGCAAATAAATTATCATTAATTTGAAAGTTATTTCATTTCAATATTTCTAACTTTCTTTTAAAAGTAAACTAAATAAATGGACTTATTTTTTTTTTTTTTAAATTTTTCTACGTTAGTTAACATTTGTAAAAATTAAAAAGGTAAATAAAATTCATTAAATTATTCATGTTTTTAAACATTTTTATAGTTATATTTAAATAATTGGGTACATTTTTATAAGAATTATATCTTAAAAACCAATAATTCTTTCAAGTGGAAAAAAATTCCCAATTAAAATGAACAGTGATTTGATATAAAAGATTTCTTCAAATTAAATTACTTTCAGCACAAAACATATTTAATAAAATAATAATCATAATATATGTAATAATTAATGTTTTGTTAATGTTTTTAATGCCAACATGCACCCACCAATAAGTTTATTTCTGCATTTTATACTTTTCTGTATTAAAAAATAGGTGCTTGAGAACACAATTATTTTTAACAAATGCACTGCAAGCAAATGCCTGAAGTCTTTTTTCTCTCTTTTGGTTGATATAAAATGGCTGGTGGAGCTTCACTACTAGCAAGGATAGGGAATACCATCTGATGTAATCCTCAGTGGGTTTAAAATAGAATTGGCATAGATAATCTAAGAAACAATTACAGGGTAACCATTGACACTCTGTATTATGTGTATGGAAAAAGAAGTAGGGCGACAAATTCTGCATCCATTTCTGATGAGCTGATATCACGATTCTTCACATCAGAAAGGAAATAATTAGAAAGAATGGGAAAAAAGAAGAAAAAAAATTTTGCTGAAAATTTATTATTCCATTTTGTAAAATAGAGAGATGATTTAAATCATATAGATTCAGATATTGAATGAAATTGTCCTAAGTATTCCCCATAATCACATGGATAAATTATGTAACATGCATCAAATATAAACAAAATATCATGATTTGAAATTTGTATTTATATGCTTTGAAAGATGACAAAAAAAGTCAATGTAATTCAATCACATAAATCTTGTGAAAATACAACTAGAATTTCATTAAAGCAAAATTAGTTTTAGATAGTTTCAATTAATATAAGACTAATTATTTTATGTTTTTTTCTAAAAAAAAAAAAGTCGAAAATTGGTTAGTAATTCATAATAAAATTTTGCACAATTCAATTTGCAGCAAATATTTGTTTATTAAATCTTACAATAAAATGTTATTTTTTATTCACCATTTATATTTCTGAATTTTCATATGTTGCAATACACTTATTTTGTTAAGAAACACTATATGCCCAGAGAATTGTAAAGTTTGACTAAAACTAAAACAAAGAAAAGCATGGTTATCACTTGTTTTAACTCTACAAATAAAACCACCTTTTTCAATATTTAATAAAAAGAGGAAATATAATTTTCAAACAAGAAAAGTGTAATTTAGGAATTTATTAAACCCTTTGAAAATAAATTTACAAAGGTTATGAATGCATACGAGAAACTCCAAGTTCCACATGAGGATACAATATGCACTTCAACCTCTCAATAATGAAAAGTCATCAATATTTCGCAATCTTTCTGACCATTGAGTATGTATAGGATCTCTTAAGTTAAAAATAGGAAATTCCTGTTTATTGAGCGGTAACGTCAAAATGAATAGTGGTTTGGATAATTTCTTCAAGACTTTTGAAACCCATGGACTCACTGTCAAAGAAAATATTTTAGTTTTCAAAGAATAAAAATGTGTAACACCTGTCGGAGTAATTTTCTAGGAATTAAATTTCAATAAAATTTTGGTCCCTATATTGGAATGAATGGTTTACTTTGGATATCCTAATGGGTTTTCAAATGTTTTAGATGGTGTCTATGGAACAGTACTTTGCATATAGGTGGTTATATTGGAAAGGTCACATTGATGGGGCCATAGTCTAACAAACTTTATTTTACTAACAATAAAAAAATTATGCTTTGAAAATAATCAATCATATTTCTTTATTCATAGATTATTCAGACTGATAAATTATAATTTTATTCAACATATAATTTTTTTTACCAAAGTCTCTAGAAAAAATTATCTATACATATAAAAAAAAATAAGAGGAAAATTCTTTTAGGTAACTGTAATGACAGTGATAAGTTCAGACTTAAGTGAAAATATTTTAAATTTTAACTATTAAATTTTATAAGCACTTTAAAAAAATTTCAAGACTGAACTTATTTTTTGACTAAAATCTAGTGCAGTTCAGCATAATTTTCAGAAATTTATTGCTCAATGACTGCAAAAAGTACCTTTCCATGAGCATGGCCTACATATTATATCTATGACTTGTTTACTTTTTCCAAAAAAAAATTAATTTTTCTTCATTTTTCATAGAAAATAAAAGCTACCTGGTATATCTTTTTACACCAATTGCTAAATAATAAATCACAAATTTTTTTCTTGAAGCCATTCTTATCTCCATTTTTCACTTCACCATCACCAATTTTTAGTTCTAGATCCATATATATATATATATTTTTAAATAAAATCAATTTAACTTTGATCATAATTTCTAAACATCAGGGAGAAAAATAAAATTAACTCAAGCAGAGCCAGATTCAACATGAAAAGATGAAGTTCAATCATTGCAATTCTTTCATTGCAATGTGACATCATTATTTGATAATTTTGCAATAATTAGGAAAAAAAGATGTCTTAATTAAAAAGTAATGTTTTTTTTCTTTTTGGAAAAATTAGTTTAAAAAAAATTAGAAAGAGAGATTAATAGTCTGGAACTCAGTCTACTGGTTATTTCTTGACTGATTTTAGTCCTCAAGATTGAAGAGTGGCACTCATGTTTAAAAGGCAAGCTGTAATACTTTGCTTGTTTTAGAAGAAAATCACAGTTGTATTATGCATTTATAAAGAAGCATTTCAGCGATAGCAATAAATGGTTTAAATAATTAACACTAAAATTTTAAAAAATAAACTTTTACCATTTGTATGATTTTCTTCAACAGAAGTTACACTTGCTGATGCTTGTTGATGCTTACGTTCAACGTGGCCTTTGCAATGCTCACACTCGTCATCTGTTTCAGAAGAGCTTTCGTCAAATTTCCGAGGCTTCTCATATATGCAACAACCTGATTAAATAACAATCTCTTAAAATTTCATCTTACTTACATTTTTATTTAATATGTTTCAAAAAGAGAGCTATGACTACTCATGAAATAAAAAATAGAAACAGAGAATAAAATTGCCATTTTATTTTTTATTTCCACACACACATTTACAGTTTTCTCTTGCATGCATAAAAACTGTGTTCTGAATCAAAATACCAAAAGGAAGAATTATTTGTAGTAATGTTGTGCATTGCATGTTGCAGAATTGTATTTTATTTAACCTGCTGGCAAGCAGACAGTTCCGGTTTTCTCCTATAGAAGCATGTATGTTTTGCATAAAATCTTTTTCCTCATTCTGTGTTTACATACAAAGTTCATGTTTATTAATGTTATTTAAATACAAAACAATGTTTGCAAAACTTTAAGGCAATTTTGAATAAATATATAAATCAGAAATTTAGCTTGCATAAATATGTATGCATTAAAATTCTATTTCATAATTTGGACCACTTCATTTTTTTCTAGAACAGATTAAATAAAAATAATTTCTACTTTCATAAAAGCAAAAATGCAGCTGTGCCACTTTCCATAACTCAATACATTGGTTTCAAAAGAATTAGCCTCAACTCTACAAGAAATTTTCAGCTTAGTAGACCAATGTGCAGATATGCATCAAAAAATGAAATATCTCATATATTTAAATAACTTTGTTATTGCATTAAAAATATGTATATCCTCCTAGATTTTTAACGATGAATTACAAATACAAAAAATAACAGAAATTGGGGATTAATTCAAGCAGAATCTGGATTTTTTTTACAAAATTTAAATTTATACAGCGATTTAACTTATGCTCTATAGCACTCCAAAAAAAACCCACCAAGATTGTAAACATACTACAAAAATGTTTAGCCTAAGACCCAAAACTTTTCATGATTAATAACTTAAAATATGCAGAGAAAAAATAGATCCCAGTAGCAGAATGAGCTCTTTGAGAACTAAATTAAAACCTTAAAGAAAAAATCTGCATTTACAGCAGAGTGAGAAGATTTGCGAGTAACAAATAGTATCTACTCCTGGCTTAATTTAGGAATTGGATCAATCCCGATTCCTTGGCCATTGAAATATAATTTTTTTTCGTTTTATGTCTAGCATAGAAGGAATAGTTATAGTAAATGATCATATTCGCCAAATTGTCAGACCTAAGAGGTAATTCTTTCTTTCTTTTTTGAAAGAATTTAGAAATCATAGTAAATTTTCTTAAAATAAATTACAAACGGCAACAAAAAAAAATTACTGCAACAAAAACTTGCAATTACTGCAACAAAAAAAAGCAACTCAAAACATTGTGGAATCAGAAATGTATCTCTTTAAAAGAAATAGAGCTGTTATCTACTTCATAAAATAATTGTCTACTATTAGTAATAAATAATGGTATATTTAGATTAATAAACAATCTTCTTATATTTTTTTAAATAAAAGCAGACGATTTTTAATGAAAGCAGACGTGATTCCACATCAAGAAAAAAACTTTTGCTCGTAATAATTAATTGCAATTAAAATGTGTTATAAAACATTATAAAATAATTAGTCATAATAAAATAAGTATAACATAAACTGAGTAACTAAAGTGAATGTAGTATGTCAATACTATAAGTTTCATGTTCCTTAACTCAGACATCCACTCAGAAACGATTAAGAATAATAGAAGAATCTTGAAGATGCACCTAATTTTCTAGCTCAAAATGGCGGGAAAACCAAGCAAAATTTTTTTGGGTTTTCTGGATACTGGATAAATGGTTCTGTACTGTAATACAATCCTTCTAGGTCATTGTATAGTTTCAAGAAGGCATTTGACGTGTGCCTGCCTAAAAGAATCTTAAATACTTTTTAATATTGATTATGATTTGTAATTTGAATTTTTTTCCAGAAATATTTTTTTCATTTATTGAACCAACTAATGTGCTATTACGAAAAGTACAATTAACTTTAATCAAACATCAGCGTTTTATAAGAGTTCTTTTTCTTTCTTGCCATTTTGAAATTTCTGAAGTAAAATAATTTTTGTAGTTTCTATAGCTGATAATTGTATACACATACCTGCCAACATTGGAGAAATAAAATAACGGAGATTTTACTAGCAAAATTTTTTAGGCTACAAGGTTTGATACACCATGTAAGTCAAAATGAGAAATTCAAAATTGGAAATAATATAAGCACTTACATTTAGCAAAGTAAAATATATGTATATAAATTTTAATTTAAAGAAGATTTCTTTAAACCATTATTTATAATTACTTAAACTATTTTTTTTAAACATCCGTTGTTGAAGAGCCGCCCCAATTTTTTTGTTTACAACTACAAATGTTCAACTCCATAGCCTTGTAATTTTGACCCAATCCAGAAGGCAAGGAAACTCCTGGATCAGTACCCCCACAGGTATTGATTTGTTCTGGGAACAGGGAGGATATTGCGACTTGATAGATTTAACGTGCATCAGTTACCATTTACTACACGGGGAGTCTTCGGCCGGCTTGGGATCAAACCCATGAACTCTTGGACATGGGCCCAGTGTCCTAGCAACCAGGCTATCCTGGCCTACTTAAACTTTTAACACTCAACAAACAGTACCAGCAATACTACTACCTGTTGAGGAAGAAGAGAAGTATTTTTGCCATCCGCAGATATTTTAAAACCATTTTTAAAAAAAATTTTTTTTTTTTACATTTCTTCAACAAGCACAGAGAAAATTGAGAACATATAGGTAAACAGGAGATAGTCGTGAAATACAGGAGTCTCCGTTAAAAAACAGGAGATTTGGAAGGTTTGTATACAGATCAGTAAAAGGAAGGTGGCAAATTAATTATGCTAACTTAACTTTCATTCAGCTGGTTTATTTTGCAGATTAGCCATATTGCTAAGGTTTTTCAGAACCACAGAGAATACTGTAATGCACACAGAAATAGATACATAAAGAAGCTAAGAATTTATCATCTGCTTTTTCATCTTAGAAATTCTTCCCTCTCCCTTTTCATTTTGATTTAGTTTTTTACAAACAACATTTGAAGTACATTGTTACATTAATACATATATTTGATAATCTCTAAAGATTCAGAATACTTTAATCGCTCATTAAATTTATAATTTTCCTTCAGTTTACCAGCAGTTTAGCTCATTTTTTTTAAGTATATTTTTAGTATTTTAGCAAATTACTACACATGTTTTGAAATACTTTAATATTAAAGACAAAAAATAATAACTGATAAGTCACAAAGTATTTTCACTCTTCAAAAAAATTTTTTTTTCAAAAGCATGTCCAAAAAATAAAGGCTGGGTCTACCCAAAGAAAGATAAACTTTTAAGTACAAGAAGAAAGAAAGAAAAAACAGAATGGTTTTTTTTTAGATTAAAACAATACCATAGTAATAAACAGTGATTACATACACTTTGATTTCTTTTTATTCATGTTTTCATTATCCACAGTGTCTGCTGTCCAACCAACCTTCTTTTTCTTTTTGGGTTTTTTCAATTTCACTTTCACACTTTGAAGAGACTGAAAGAAAAACAATTTTGAAATTATTATGCCTCTTAAAATTATTTAGAAAAAAATTTTGTAAATTAAACATATTGCTACAGAAAAAATGAACATAATAGAGTCACTTTTCTCAGTAGGCGCTTCATTCCTTCTTTGCTCATAATCATTATTATGAGAAGAGTTAAATAGATAATACACTTAAAAAGTATACAAGGGCAGAAAGATAAAATCATCACTAACAACAAAAATCAAAAGTATAAATATTTATTCAATGTCTTATTAAATAAATGTGACGACTGGTGGCTGAAAGGTAAATCCAGGATTCGATCTTCAGGCCGGACAAGATTGATTTAGACTTTCATCCCTTTAGTGGGTTGATAAAATTAGTATCAAGCATGCTTGGTNCCACCGAAATTATATTTGTAAATGGAATAGATTTTTCTGTAAAAAAAAATCACTCAGGACTATCGATTCGCCTTTAGTGTCCGACTTCAAAGTTTTTGCAAAGTTTTTAAGGTAAATCCAAGCCAAAAGTTTTGTTCTTTATTATGAAAACCAGAAAATTTTTCGTGGACCCCCGTTTGCAACTTGTGAACCCCTGTTTTCTTTTCACGTCTACGTGGACCCCCGTGTGGTCTCCTACGGACCCCTGGGGGTGCACCTGGACCACTTTGGGAACCTATGATTTAGACTTTCATCCCTTTAGTGGGTTGATAAAATTAGTATCAAGCATGCTTGGTTGACCACCTGCATCTCAGAGTCCAAATTCAAGAAAATTGAGATGGGCACAGTAGACCTTGGCCCTCTATGGGCTGTTGCGCCACTGAGTTTAGTATGCTAAACAAATGTACTTCTGCTATATCCCAATTACTGTTATAAAAACAAATAAAAAAATAGCTTGAAACCTATTATTTGGCTTAAAAAGTGTCATTTAGTCATTATGCTTGGTCAATGGGGCATTAGTTTAATGTCCATGATCATGTTATTGTTGGTAAAGAGAATCGTGCTTATATGTTCCCTTAAAATTAGAAATTTCAAAAACAGACAAGTCACAATTAGTTTTGAAAATATATATATATATATAAAACTAAACTTGTGTGATAGCAAAAAACTTTAGACACTACATAAAACATTAATTACATATTAAACAAGAATAAAAATAAATGATATAAATATTTTTGAAAGTCTTGAAACATTGATCAAGCCTTTTAAATAAAATAAGATAAAAAATTTGGAATTTTACGTAATAAAGTTGAACATTATTTAATATATAAACACGCTAAGAAATTTAAAAAAAATTAAGTGCTCAGCTATTATAAGGAATAAATTATTTAGCTATTAGAAGGTCATTTAGTTTATTTTTTTTTTTTCAAATTTGAAGTTTTCCAAAATATTGCAACATCGTATTTTAATTTTGTCTCCCTCAAAAATTTTATGCCTGTTATGCCTATATAGCTATGAATAAAATAAATATCAATACATATATCATTATCCTATTGTTTAAATATCATTTAAACAGATAAAAAAAAACTGAATTGGATACTTAAAAGTAGCTAGGGTTGTAAACGTCATTGTAATGGTCAATGCATCTTAATTTATAAATTAAACATACTTTTCAAGAATTAGGAAGATTTAGAAAAATTTAGGCATATTTCAATTTCTTTATTTACATATTTTCAGAACTCAAAAGGCTCAAATAATATTTATTTATCTCTCTTCTCCTTTAAAACAGACATAATTGTCATTTCCACAATGTTATAAATTTTAAAACAGAATTCTATTATAAAACTACACAGTAAAGTATCAAAAATTTATAGATTAAAATATGTACACATAGAATTGTGATAACTTTTCTCGCAATTCCAACTATTTTTTAAAAATGTTAATTTATTTATTTTCAAAAACTAGACACAATAGCTTAACAGCTTATGGTAAGATAAGGTCAACTGTGTCCATCTCAGTTTTCTTTACCAAGGGCTCTGGAGTACAGGAGCAGATGTTTTGGTTAGGTGGTCAGACCGACATCGAACCCCCAGTGTTTAGTTCCCAAGCATGCTTGGTACTCATTTTATCAACCAACTGAAGAGATGAAAGGCTGAGTCAACCTTGCCTGGTCCAAGGATCAAACTTAGGACCTGTGGCATAAGTGTGTAAAGTGCTACCACTCAGCCACCAGATGTCTTATTTATTTTCTACTTATAAAATTTCAGAAAGTCCACTTAATTTAATGTGTGCTAATTTTCAGTTACAACGATCAAATTGCTTATTTAATAATGAAAAGGTTGTAGAAAAAGAAAAATTTCAGCATAAGTATGACTATAAGCTTTCATATTTGAAGATACAGGGATATTAATTAAAACAATGTCTTCTTTAAGAAAGCAGAAGCTTTTATTAGTTTTTTAATATAATGAAAATTCAGCGAATAATTATAGTATATTTTCAAACAAGCATTAGCATTGATTAAGCACAGAATTAATGTTGACCAATAGGATTCAGAAGAATTGATGATAAAGAAATCCCAACTTTGAAATTTAATTAAAATTCCGATCTTTACATCCTCTAAATTAATTAAAATACCTCTACATCACTTTAAACTATCAATATTAGAAGTAATTCCTGAGAACTAAAGCCATTATACAACAATAAGGTATTATGACTATTATACCAACAATTTCAAAACAATTAGAAGCAGCACAAAACTTTATTATAAATAGTTTAAAATTCATTACAGCAGTAGCCTCGTTATCATCTGATTCTATAACAACCGTGGAAGAAGCAGTCGCTTCTTCAGTTTTTAATTTCTGCATTCCAGCCATGAAAAATTACGAGTTTAATTAATCACCAGAAAAAGAAGTGTTATTGTGAAGGTAGAAATGTTGAGACTAAGTTTATTATGATATAAACCATACGAAGAAAATTAAGTTGTGCAGGTATCCATCAATCTTAGATACTTTACAGATAACAATATTTTGTTAAATTTAACGGTATGTTGATATTTTGTGAAGAAACTTCCACCCGCCCACTTTTGTCCAACTCAATATTTAATTACCCTAATAAAATTGGGTTTCAGCTAAATTAATCCTTCCATATTTCCTCTCCCTATTGAGTTGCAGAAATAGGCAGACAGAAACGGTATTCAATAAGTTGTTTATTATTATTTGTGCATAGTCCCTGCTTAATTGTTATATTTCGATTACTGGAAAGTTGTTTTATTTGATTCAATAAATTCTTTCTTTGCTCAGTTTGATTGAAATATCGGAGGAATATTTTTTTAAAACTAGCTCTTAAGAAACTCAAAATGAAGTAAGTTAATATGCAATGGCTATTTTTGAACCCTCTTGCTCCTAATAAATGCCTCATTTTTAGAACCAATTAAAGAATTATTCTGCAAGTTTTAACAATTTTAAATTGTTGTTATAAATTTAGTGCTTTTTGACTGTTCCTGTTTATTAATTTAGCAATGTAGATTGTTGTTTTTTAGTACGTTTTATAAATATTATTTTTTCTTTAATTGAGATTGAAACCTTTTTGATTGGTAATAAATAATTGATTGGTTCTAAGTTGTAAAAATAAAAGCTTGATTGCCTGTAACTTTTATGCTATATTCTATAAATTCGTGTAATTTTATTCATTCACATTAGAATAAGTAAAGTTAAAGTTTTATAGTTGTCTTTATAAGTTTTTTGCCTAAAATCTTAAATATTATTTGAAAAGGAATGATTGCTACTAAGGAAGGTGCAGAAGCCTGTAAAGAGCATATTTTTATACTTTGGTAAAATGTCTTTGGTGTGTCACTGCCTGTCATTAACAAAATTTCGTTACTTTTTTGATGCAGGTTCCAACATAGTAATTTTAAAATGACTTTTTTATTTAATTTTTTCTCAGAAATAAAATTTTTCAAAATCATTCTTTAAAAATGGTATCAAGATGCTCTATTTTTGTCTTCATAAAATTAAGTATTATAGGAAATAGATATTTTGGTTTCTAAAAAATTTTATTAAATTTTTCTGTTTCAAGATAGACAAACATTTACTCTAATTTTATTGATGTACATTTATTACAAAGAGTTTCTCTTTCAGAACTATGAAAGATGCAAGATATTTAATCAACAGAAAGCAACTAAAAAGGCCAACAAACATGATAAGAAAGGCACCTCGTGGGGTAATGGATGCCCGAAGTATTCTTAACTCAAAACACAAGTCTAGACCAATGAATCGTGCAGGTGTTAATGTTCAAGGATCATTTTCTTCCACAAAAAGATCAATTCCTTCAAATGCTAGTACTTCCCAAGTTGCAGTATGTATTGTACTTAATGTTGTATTTATTACTATCCACCATGTGGTGTATATTATTTATTGGTTTGCTTAAGATCTGTATAAATATCTTTAATTTAGACTTTTCAAATCAAAGCTGACAAAGTGTAAGCTTAAATCTTTTTACTACTCCACGTTTGAAATTCCACCTTTTAATAAATTAACTTTCTAATTTAATAATTTATAACAGATCAGAGTTTCTGTAAAAAGAAAAACATAAGCAATTCAAACAACTTATGTGATCTATTTTTTTATGAATATGGTACAATTGAAAAAATGTTATCCCATCTTTAATAGTTTTAGATTTATTTGTAGCATTTTCAAAGAGTTGCAAAAATTTATGTGGATTGGTTTACCAGAAAAATATGCCAATAATTTAGTTCTAACCATTTCTTAAGTTATTAAATCTGACACAAAACATATTAAACATACTTTTTTCTGAGAAGACCTTTATAGTTGGCCATGGAAGCAGTTGAAAAGTTAAACCCCTATATTTATTTTCGTATTATTTAAGAGTGAGATGTCCGATCAGAATTTCAGTCTGATATCCTGATAGGTATTAGTATATTTTCATTTGTTAACTGTTTTTAGTTTATTTAGCTATTATTATTCAATTGATATAGATTTTTCTTTGTACTTTAAATTTTAAGTTCTTAATATTTTAATTTGATATTTTATAAAGTTTTATTTTTTATATCCTTAGTTTTGTCATGTTAACACATCAGTTAGTATCTTTGATAATATTAAAAGCATTTTCTTTTTTAAGAAAACTAAAACCTAAGAGCTTAACCATCTTGTACTCTCTTTTTATAGATTCTTTTTCCTATTTTCTATTTTATCAAAATTAGTTGGAGAAAAAAAACATGCGGCAATATTGATCAGCATTATGTTCTTTTCATACAACTGTATTTGTATCCAATTGAGCTTCTAGTATCCGTCAGGGGTTTAACCTTAATCTTTCACAATAATGGCTTCGTGCTTTAACTATTGTATTATCATATCTCATTATTTCAGGATAATTTAAGCTGTTTTTAAATACTTCTTAAATTTTTGTGTTTTTAAATTTTTGCTGCTTTAATTGTTTGCTGTTTTTAAATTTTTGTGTTTTTGCTTTCTGTTGATCTGTTTGGGATATGAAATGTCAATTTTGTTTAATGTTCAAAAAACAAACAGAAAATTATTAAAACATATAAAATTTCATACCTTTTATCCTATGAAGCAATATTTAAAGAAAAATTAGTCTTTTTATTGATTTTCAAGAACACTCTTTTGATTGTTTATTATTTCACATTTCCCCCTTTTTTTCCTTCTTATTCTATAATCTCATGCCTATCAAAATTAATAAACATCTTTATAATTAAAACCCAATTAGCATTTATTAATTTTTAATGTTTAAAATTACAGTAGGGAACCGATTATCCGGAACGATCGGGACCATCACTATTCCGGATAACTGATTTTTCTGGTTTTCTGAATCGCTACAAGAAGCCGTCTTTTTATTGTTAAACCCAACAAAAGGAAAAAAATATTTGAAAATAATCTTAAAAGGAAGAAAAAACGATTAAGTAATACACTAATAATTATTTCCAAAATGATGGTAAGGTAATAATCTTTCAAAAAAGAAAGAAAAATCCTAAAATCTTATGAGGAAAAAATATTTTTTTTAAAAAATGGCTGGAAAATTTATCGAATTTCGTTCCGGTTTTCTGATTTCTGGATAACGGGTCCTGTACTGTACTGAACATTTTATATAGAGTGCATTAAATTCAGTTTTTTAACTCATTTTTTGTCATATCAGTTTTTTATATTGCGTTAATTATACCTACATATGCTATTTACACCACTTGGAGCATGAGGTGTAATGCTCCATGGCTCCTGATTTCATGATATTCTGTTTGTATATAAGTCTGATATTTTTCTTACTTTTTAAATTATGACCAAAATCTTTTCTTTATTTCTTTTCTATCTAAAATGTAGAATTTATGCATCATATTACTGTCTTGGAAAGAATGCAAAATTTCATTTTCTCAAAAAATATGTTTCTCTTCTATGTAGTTTTGTGGTCCACTTTTATTCATTTGTCCTTATTTCAGCCTCCTGAAAAACGTGTGAAAGTGGCAAGAGATGGAAATATTGTGATCACTGCAAAGTCAAAAGAGGTAAAAACTGTTGTCAATTAAAATGAAATTACATTTAAGTCTTTGCAATCATATATACAGTTGAACCTGATTATCTCGAAAACCTTTGTATCTCAAAATTTCTAAAATTCCCTACATTTACTGTCTGAAATCCATGTATTTTCCATGTTTATGTAAAAAAAATAAATTTCAAAACCTTCGTTTCTCAAATTTCTAATAATAGAGCGCAAGTGTCAAAACTTTCTTTATCAGTAGAACTTGCAGTCAGAGATGAAATTCGTGAATCCGCAGGAAGTAGGGATGAACAAGTTGGGGGTGTTTCTTGGAATTTCAATCACTATCCTTAACTAGAAAGGAATACAATGATTCTGGCAGTAAGTGAGGGGTTAATGAGTTGTGACCACCAGGGGTTACCTTAACAACATAGATAAGAAAGCTAAGAATAGAAATTCATTTTCACCTCAAAATTGCAAGCAATGCATCAAAGGATAGTTACCAGTTTTAAAGTGAACTATAGAAAACAGTTTGTATGCAAACTTGTAGATGCTATCAGAATTACTGTTTTGCCTGGAGAAATGTGTTTTTAAAAGCAATCCAAATTGGTTTTAAAAAGCTGGTTTTAGGAATAGCTGTGACGATGATGAATAAGAGATTGAAGGCATCAGTAAAGAAGAAGAAACTGTTGATGCTGAAAATGCAGTGCAGATTTGCCAGAATGGAATGCAATAAAATCTGGATTAATTGTTGACATTAATTTTGAAGATTTTTACAAGTAGACAAATGTCAGGCAGAAGATAGACAGATGAGGAAATCGTAGATAATGTCAAAGGAATATCAGATGAAGAAGCTGAAGATCATATTGATGAACCAAAAAAGAATGCAAAAGAGGTGAAAAAAAAGCTGTAGAATTCTTATAAACTATTCTTGAATCCCAGTAAAATCTTGGCTATCAGGGATTTTTGCTCTTTCTAACCTTAAAAGAATAATCAAAACAAATAAGGTTACACGTCAAAAAATTATTTTCAGTGTTAAATGTATGTTAAAAAATGTTATGTAAATGGATGTATGTGGCATGATTAATTTAAAGAAATACCTATATTTTTATACCGAAGACAATTAACACACTTTAAATAGAGTAGTAAGTCCCTGTATAACTGAAAGCCTCTTTATCTCAAATATTTCGCCTTTCCTGTGAGATTCGAGATAAACTATGTGTGTATATAATATATATATATATTTATATATACGCACACACACATAATTGTATACAAATATATATGCATGCAGTGAGAAAAAAAGGTTTTCCTCTGAATAATTTTTGTTCTGATCATTTTCTTAGTTTTCAGGAACTAAGTGCCAATCACTATGAATTAAAATGTTAACTTCAAGCATTTCATTTCTATTTATACTTTTGATTGTAAGAAGCACAATGTATCTTTAACAAGTAGCTGAAAATAAAGTTAGAGAAGCTTGTGAAGTTAACTCTATCAATCAGCATATTCTTCTAACTAATTTAAAAAACTAGCAGATCATGAAATTGGTGAGGGTCTATTTTAGTTAATTGTCCAATTTTGATTTCTACTGACCTATTATTTAATGTGTTTTTTTTATAAAAAAGAAATTGTATGTTAGATTGGAATTTTAATAATTTGTAATAATTCAAAAGGTCTTTCCACACTCTGTTCCTCGGTGGTCCCCTGCTGATGTTGAAACAACCAATGTGGAAAATCTGGGTATTGATGATGTTCTTGACATGGATTCTCTACCATCTACTCTCATTGGAATGAATAAAGTAATATTCTCTTCTTTATTTTATTTTTTGATTAAGAAAAAATATTTATTTGAATTGTTAACAATCGAGAAAATTCTTCATAAGTTTTTATCATTGAATTACATGAAGAAAAAAAGTGTTGTGTATTATTCATTATATTTTTTTATTTAATTTTTTATTAATTTATATTCTACACTTGGAATTTTTAACTCTAAATTATGGGTATGAAAAATTTCTTACAATAAAGATAAATTACATGGAGCTCGCTGGCTTTCAACTGACTAGCAATTTCTAGTGATTTAGCTAATTTGCCAGAAAAAACCCTAGTCAAATGAAGAAGAAAAAATGTAAGTAAAATTTATTTATTTCCACTACAAAAGTTACTGATCTAAATTAAAATTAAACCATCAGTTATACAAGCTACAAAACGAGTTCTGGAGAGAAAAAAAAGCAAGTGCATGTAATAAGAAATATTAAATATTATTTCACTTTTCAAATATTTTTTAGCTCTTTCTTGAAGCCCAAATTTCAAATGCCGTTTCAAAATTTTACAAATACCTATTTGACCTATTTGCATGATGTTGTTACAGGTATGTATGACTATGGTAAAGTTTACCAAACAGTTGTTGCAAATCATTCTTCTTCGGAAACTCCACAGTCTCTTTATATTCATGTCTCTACATCAGGAAATTAAACAATTTTTAAACCGTTTCTATTCAATATTTTGTAGCAAATTTTGTGAAATTGAGTGCTCATCAGTGTGATCAAGGGAAAAATAGAATTTCTTTTATTTTCTGTTTCAAATGAGAGAGTTAAAAAAAATTTTTTGTAGGCCTCACATTTTGGCAAGTAGGATTGTTTATTTTTACTCAATGAGACCTTTTATCGTGATTTGATGTCCTGGTGATTGGCTGTGAGAACTCTTTTTGCATGTTGGGTTGATGTTAATAATCAAAAATTATTAAACGAACTTAATATTATCAATCAAATGAACAAATATTATTAATATTATCGATAAAATGAACGAATATCAGAATTCAGCTCCTCAACCAAATCAGAATGCCTCTTCACACATTCTGTTGTAGGTAGGTCACAAGAACAGAAAAGAAATATACAGATCATTTAAAGGGATGAGAGAGATGAAGTGCTTGAACGATCTATCTTGAAGGTCAAGTTTATTCCCACTTTCATTGAAGGTCAAGCTCGTTATTTTTACTCTCGGGAATGTATGATTTTGAAATTCGATAATGTGGGAGGAAAATCATGCAATATAATTAACAACTTGTTAAGTAGAGGAATGAGAGAATGTATGAACTGGTCTTAAGATTTTTGGTAGTTTGCTTTTTTCCTGTTTTAATTTTCTTCGATTGCTGATTTCAAGAAAGATAATTTTTATTCCATATTTAAAGTTTATTCTAACAATTTTTAGGTGTTTAATCAATTGATTTATAATCAAGATATCATAAATTAATTGAAAAAAAATGAAGTGTTTGCTATTACCTCATGGTTTAATTTTATGCATAATAAAGATTATTTATTTATTTATAATTACTATTTTTTTAAAAGAAAATGATTTTAAGAGTTTTTAGCTGTCAATGAATTTGTATCTTTAGATGTTTGTTTTGCTCATTGGACATTTACAAATTTAATACAATTAATGCAAGAAGACTTCTAATTTTTTAAACTAAATTTTAGTATTTTACGACGCCCATTTGCATCATATACAAATTTAGCTATATTTTAAATTCCAAAATAATTGTCAATTATTTCTCCAGGTGCACTGTTACATTTTTTGCCAAGTTAGGGTGGTATAGACTATATACCAAATTGTGTAGGAAATATTGCTGAATGTGAGCATTAATGTTATTTATTGTTGTTGTTATTTATTGTACAATGTTGTCATTTATAAATTTTTTTATGATGCATTTTTAGGCACTTCCAAGTAATAGAAGTCTTGCAGAAGAGATTGTTGACATGCAGGATACAATGATAGCAGATCAGGTTTCAACTCTGCAACAACAACCTTCTATGTGTGTCTACGTCTCTAACTTGCATGCATCAGTGTCTAAGCAAGACATTGTGGTAAGATGCAATGTTTGTTATTAACATTATTTTTTATTATTGAAATGAGCATGCTCTTTGCTTTAATAAAAGTAGACGTATGCATATGTATACATCTGTTGAATATGTATTTTTTATTTTAATACCTATTTCTAAGTTTGCAACCGCATTTATAGACACGTTAAGCTAAGCATGTTTATAATATTTATTTTTCAATTTATTGTTTAAGTTTTTTTTAATTTACGAATTTTTTTTCTTCCTATTTCAGGAGCTGTTTGGTGATATTGGATTAATCAAGCGTGTTGAAATGACTCAACCAGGGGTTGCTCTTGTTGAATTCTTTGATTCAAATGATGCTATCAAAGCCTGTGAGCTTTATCATCAAAGATTATTAGATGGTAACCTTTACTTCAGTTATTTATGTAGAAAACTCACAGCTAGTTGAAATTTAATTTTTGCTACTTAACTTAAAGCTTTGTTTGAGAAAACATTAGCTTTTAAATTATAATTAAGTTTGCAGTTCTATGCGTTCAGATGAGTATTTAAATGTCCAGGGGTACAAAAGTCATTTTTTAATGAAAAAAATTTTAAGTTTTGATTTTTTTAAAATTTATCTCATTCAAGGTTTTGTTAAGAATTGAATGCTTTAAAGTTATTTAGTTATTCATTTTTAAAATGATACAATTTATGCATATTTATATTTATATAACTATATAATAATTGATAATTCACTCACAAAACAAATTGAGAGGATTAATGCCTTTCCTACTACTGCTTTGAGATTTATTATATAAATAGCACTCAAAAATTATAAGCAGTTATTTAGTAACACACACAAAAAGAAAAAAACTATAGCATTTATAACATTAAAATTCTTAAGTATGATGTTATTCATGTAACATACCTGCCAAGTCTCCTGTTTTTTAATGAAGACTCCTGTATTTTCATCTATCTCCTGTTTACCTGCATATTCTCAAAATTTTCCCTGTATTTGTTGAAGAAGTTATAAAGAAAAATTGGCGATAAAATATCCTTTAATTTCAATAATACTTTTCTTATTCCTCTATAGATGATGCTATTGCCAGCACTCCAGTGTGCTGAGTGCTTATAGTTTAAGTAATTATAAATAATGATTTGCCGGCCTGGTGGCCGAGCAGTTAGCGTGCCTGACTGCGAAGCCATAGGCTGCGGGTTCGAATCCCACTCTGGGCATGGATGCTTCTCTCTATCTCTTTGTGCTGTCCTCTGTTGTGTGTGTGAATGTGGCCCACCCTATAAACGGGTTTGTGGCAGTGTGACGTGGGCAATGTTGCTCGCCTCCTTGACTTTGGTTCACAGGTGCCCACTGGGTAACGCTAATTGAGCAACAATTCTGGCATAGTATAGGCAAAAGATTCAAATTCAGTGCCTGCCATTGGAAAAAAAGTAAATAAATAATGATTTAAAAATGATTTTTTGACTTACACATGATTATGCATGATGTATCAAAACTTTACTCATAGCCTAAAAAGTGTCACTATTAAAGTCTCCATTATTTTATTTCTCCAATGTTGGCAGGTATGATGCAATTAATATATTGATTAAGAAAAAAAAATCGAATTATGTAATTTTTAGCCGGTAAATAAAATTTCTGGTATCTGCATAGTTTTATCACTTACCTTTGCATAATAAGTAAATGCGAAAATGTCTGTGCATAACTTTCGAGTAAAAAAATAAAAGTTATTGTATTACTTTAAATGGAATTCCATGTTTGCTCTAACATCTTAAAATCTCTTTTGAAAACATGGCAAATTACGTGAATAGTTCAGCACGGTTTCAACCTCTTTCGGGGGAAGCATGAATAAAAAGACTTAAAACTGAAAATTAAATTAATAGAAATTCATTGTGAAAATCACAATTTGATAACATATTAATATAGTTAATTTAGCTCCTAATATTATCAATATTGAAACCGATAGAGGTATTAGTAATTAAAATTGAAACAATCTACTTGCTTCAAAATAGAAAAAAAATCTTTACCTTAAAAAATTTATTATTTCAGAAAAAGGAAAAATATAAAAGGAAAAAATTTCTTTTTAGATCTTTACTTAAAATTTCTGAAATCCAGACCTAATATTTATGTACTAATTTGAAAAAAACAAACAAACATATAACTGATAATATGTTGTTTTTTTTCTTCATGTAAACAAACTGTAATGAAACAATAAATAAAATGTGCTTTGGTGCTTCATTGTATTATTATTTTATATTTTTACTTCCATGATTTTAATGCTTTTTTTTAAAAAAAAAAATTTCAAGTGATTAAAATAATGTTTGAAATCATTGATTTGAATGTATTACTTTGCATTGTTGATTGTTGTACATTCTCCTATCTCAGGTCAGCCAATGATGTGCCAAGTTCAACCATCCAAGCGATCATCACTCATTTCTCAAAGGTAAACACACTCTATTTTTATAATTTTTCATGCTGTGTAAATAAGTTTTTGAAATTGATTGAGTGTCAATGAATTCCCTTTTATTTTTAAGGATTTTTTTCTTTTAGTTAACTTAAATAGAAACCTTCCTGTAAGTATAACACTTTAAAAAGTGTATGGTATGAACGAGTTGGTCAACACATAAAGGAAGAAAAACTAAATCGTTTAAAAAAAAAACCTCATTTGAATAAATCAGTCAATGTTATGCTGGGTTTGGTAAAAACCCTGTACAAACAATTTTAATATACCTTTATAACAAATAATCATGAGAGTAGTCCTTTACTAATAATACATTTAATTGCATTCAAAATGGCTGCTTTTTGCACCGTTGTAGAGGCGCAAACACTTATTGAAATTTTCAGCAAAGGACTACTAGTCTTCTATCTTTATTCTATTCTATTCCTGCTGAATCAATTGTTTTCGAGTGTCCAGTGCTGCCCTTAGACTCCAAAATGAACCATACACAATAATCCATGGGGTTGAAATTTGGCAAGTAGAGTTCAAATTATATCATGTCAGAAAAATGTGCCTTGCACCAATCTCTTGTAAACTAGTCGGAGTCTTATTGAAATGTCCAGTTTACGTTGCTAAAGTGCTTTTTAGTCTGTGGAAGCATAACAGCTTCTAAAATGTCCCGCTGGTAAACTTTTTGATTTATTTTATGGCCATCATCCAATAAAATCAGGTGTTTTGCTCCTGACTCTGGCTTTGGATTTTGGTGATGTTCAACAATTGCCGGAGTGCTGCTTGGAGTGTCAATAAACCAGATCCTATTGTTCTGGGAGTTCTGAGCGTGTTGGATCTTATCATCAATTGAAGAGATTCTTTCCCACTGCTGACTTGTTGCCCATCTCCAAAGTTTTCAGCATCTTTGGAGCTGCGCAAATTTTTTTCTTCACTGAGAAGCTGAACTTTTTGAAGTTCATAAGGATTCAGTCCAAGCTATGTTTTGCCATTCATTGTAGCGATCATTCATTTATTCAAATTTCTCAAGTGGTCTTTCTCATGGAAACCCTTTGATTTCTTTGAACTCTCTTTTTGATGACCTTATGATTATTGAAGTGTTCAAAGTATGTTTTCGGTTACTTCTTGGACCTTGATTAAGCTCTTTGAAAATGCAAAGTGCATCAAATTCTGTTTTCCAAGGAGCATTTTGCAAATGAACGATTTCATACTGTTTCTTTCTTTGCTTAAACTATTCTAAAATGGTATGTTTTTTGCTTAATGTTGTAAAAAAAAAAACCCTCTTAAAAAAAACAATATGTAAACTAAGAGATATATTGTAAAATATTTTATCATAAAGTGGTAGATACAAATTTAAAAAAAGCTTAGTTCGCTTCTATTCTAGGATGCAATAACTTGGTCTGAAAAATGTGAAAATGTTAATGCTTTTCCAAATTTTTTACAAAATGATTTATTTGATGTACAATACATGAAAACAAATATATTAATAAGTTCTAGAAATTTTATGGACAGAAATGTGTAAAAATTTCTTCTTAAAAAAGTATTGTGGAAAAAAAATTTTTTTTTTGTGTCAGCTAATTATATTGTCCAATTGTTAATATGTATAATTCTATTTTTGAGTTTTAAATTTCTTTGAATCGAGGGCACTTTTTTCTTCGGCAATTTGAAGGAAGTTTCTTTACTTGAAAACAATCAAATTGTTATACCAAAATGCATGTTTTCTGAAATGTAAATAATACTTGAGAGAAACTTGTTCACTAACTTAAAATAGGATATATTTGACAATAAAAAAATATCACGTGTTTATGTTTACAACACATATAATGAAAAGAACACATAACAGAAAAGAAGCATTTCCAAAACGTATTATTGGAAATAATCTTGTTTGTTGTTTCAAGCGTTTCCATTTTGTATTATCTTAAGTAATCAGGAGCAAACCTAATTGGGACAATCAAAATCTTTTGGAAAGTTGAGATTCATCTTTTTAATGGTGTATTTTTATTTTTTTATTGCTGTAACTCTCAAAGTCAAGCTTTTTCTGTTTTCATAGTTAAGTATCAATTTTTACGTTATAATAATTAGTTGCAACAATAATTAGTACTATTATTCGAATCATTTACCTCATTGTTTTAATTAAACATCACAAATGACCAAAACTATTTTTCTTGCTCCCAAAATTATAGTTTAGTATTATCAATATTCTATTAACAAAGCTTGATTTTTCTTTCTTTTTCAGACTAGGTGAGAGGGTGGATCCACGTCCTTCACTTGTCAATTCCAGGTCCATTCATAATCCTCAAAATGTGCGCTTCACCGTAAAGCTCTCCTGAACTCTCCCATTTCTATCATTTATCATTTGCTTGTACATTATTTAATAATAAATAGTTCATATCATCCTCATGATTTTTCTTTAAAGTACAGAAACTTCAAGTTATAAAAAGCAAAACACTTACTAAAACAAATAGCAAAAGTTAGTGCTTTTATCATTCTAATAATTCTTCTATTTTTGTCCTCTTTTTGTACTTTCAGCTGAATGTAATATCGAAACAAGGAAGTGATGCATGGCTTATCATCTTAGGTGATAAATAGTTCGCAGTACAATGCCCAAAGTAAACAATAATAGTAATAATAATAAAAACAGAACACTTTTACTAATTTTTGATATAATGAATGGATTTGATGGTCTGAACTTTAATAGGCTACGTAATTTGTGCAGGGGACATTTTAAGTTACAAAATAGGATACAAATGCATACTTTCTCTGATTCGAAGTATGTTTTATTTTAAAAAAAATCGATTTGGATGAGCCTTGACCCTCAGGGGAACCTTCCAATGAGTTTACGCAGGTTGGAATTCCTGCTTTGGCTGGTTGATACAAATTCTGCTCCCAACTCGCACTGACCACAATTCTTAGATGAAATATCCTCTGTTATAGATGGGTCGTGGGTAAGAATCCCCTTGCCATTAGGCTAATTGTGAGATATTTTCATTGTTTTCTAGTCCTATTGCTTGATCCAGGAGTTCCTTTGTCTTCTGGATTGAGATTAAAATTAAAAGTCAGTTGAACATTGATGGTAAAAAACTCAATAGTGAGTCAGCTGTTAAAAGCTGGTTATAAAATAAGATAAAACAGATTTGTATGAGCTGTGAGGGCTCAGAGGATAGAGTGCTTGCCTTTTAATGAGGTGACCCAGTTCGAATCTCAATGATATCTGATCAATATGAATTCTGCACCAGGCTGGCACCAGCCACAGTGCTGATGTAAAATATCCTCAGTTGTAGATGGAATCGTGGGTTAGAATGTTTTTCCCTATGGGTTAACAGTGGGGGATTTTGTGGTTTTTGTCCTCTCCATGTGAAAAGGTGAGTTTTTCCATTAAAAAGAAATAAGGGTAGATTGTCTCTATACTTGATCCAGAGTTCTCTTGTTTTCTGATTGGGTTCAAAATTGCAAGTTTATTGGAGTTAAACATAGATAGTCTTAAACTTTAAATTGGGTTAGCTGTTGAGTACTGGTTATAAAATAAGGTCTGGATTCATCACCCTACAGTTATATGGTGGAGTTGGAATCTGTGAAATGGGATCCCAAAAGTTAAGACAATTTATGTATAGCCCTTGAATGTTATATAGCTTTTCATCTATTTGATCAAATTTCTAGAATTATTTAAGAGATAAAAAAGATGGCACATAATGATAAAACTGGCCCTACACCAAATAATATCTTTATCTAAACACCGTGTTCTATTACTAATTAGCTCTGTCATAATATCCTGTTCTTAAAATGACGACATCATTCTTTTCCCTCTAAATTGGCAGTCAAGTCTCTGGAACGCATTGCTCTGACAGAACTTTTCATAGCATTTTTGGTCGCTTCATGCAGAAAAGGCAATATTAATTCAACGTAATAACTGGCTAATAAAGAAAGACAACATATGAAGAAATTTTGAAAAAAGCAGAACAAGACGGGTCATTCGAAACATCGGGATAGTTCATTTTTCACTTTAACGACCAATCATCAGTTATTTCACAGAATAACTAGGTAAAGTATGAAATTTTTTATCTGATATATACTTTAACTGATTTGTCGAGTTATTTCATGAAATACCTAGTTATTGTATGAAATAACTCAATTTTACACTTTAACAGTAACATATAATACAATATTATTATAAAATATATGCATTAAAAGGAGATAACCCTCTCGAACACACATTAAAACTACTCTACTGGCTAACTAAACTAGTTATAATTGCTGGAAAAACTTCAGTAAAAAAGGAACAGCTGAATATACTTATAACAAATAATGTTATAGTAAGTGAACTAGTTATAATTGCTGGAATATAATCCTTAAATATCCCATAGATTGCACTTAGAGTGGTTACCAGTTCTTAAAAGACGAAAATAAGTACCAAAATTCCTTCTATTATCCCAGTTTGTAAAAAAAAAAAAACCTCAAAATTACCTGTGTTTTCCCTTTACATATTATACACAAGAGATTCGCTTTAATTTGTGCCGTTTTGTAAGAAAATAAAGCCGATTCAGATACAATGATGGTGTGTTTAATTGGATGAAGTGTAAATTTTGTGTTATACAAGGAAATAAAATAAAAGTAGACAACGTGAATAAGACACGAATAAAGCCGCAAAGTTCGCTATAGTTCCAGTTTTATAATGAGAAACTTTCCCATTTTAAAGTTGTTTTCACTTCTATAAATAAACTAAATTTCACCCATTTTAAAGTCCACATCGTTGATATTAATTGCTGGTGTATTTACCAAATTTCTTATTTGTGTCACTTTGTCTATGTTGGATAATGACTTACATAACTGGGATGTTATTGGTTTGAGCTTTCTTCGGCTAAAATCATTCAACTCTGCTCATCGGTCACGACTTATATTTTTCACATCTTGCAGACTTGAGGTCCTCACCCTATATCCCAAATCTATTTCTTAAATCCCCTCCATTGTTTGATTATCTTGTTCTAACTTGTTTCCCATCCTTCTTTGATATAATATCTTTTTTGTGACTTTCCATCTGCAATTCTTGGTTATCCTTCTTTGCTTCTGTGTTTAGTTGAGAAAATTTGTTGAGTATATAACCGAAACTAGAGTGTGTTTGATTTTGTGCTTTATTTAAGCTTCATTTAAATTGTTTAGCTTTATTTTCACGTTGCTAAAAAATTAGGAAAATATCGTGTTTCTTCTTTTTTTTTTTTTGTTTTTTTGCAGCATTCAAAATTTTTTTATTATAAAATAAAGCAAAAGTCTGCATGCAGAAGAAGAAGATATGATGCAAAACCAGGGGAGGGATACTTCATAACTGTGCTGGTATTATGGTGCAGTTTTAATAAGGAATTTTTAAATTGATTTTCCGTAGTTTTAGAAAATATTGCTTCAAAAACAGCAAAGATAGTGTATTAATGTTTAAAAGAATATATTATTTTTATGAGATATGAATTTGATTTTTTACGAATATATATTTGGGCTATGCTTTTTTTCTTCTTAGTTTAGTTTTTTTTAAACCAGTGATTACCATTCTTGTTTCAGAGTCTAGAAACTTGTCAGAGTACCCTAACACTCTTCACATCTTTTTAATTGATGATTTGAAGCTTATAAATCTAAAGTTATGCATTAACGAGTCCGTGAGTAAGAGCAAAATACTTAAGACAGTGCTCCTAAGGGCGGCAAGTCATGGGGAAAAGACAAATTTGTTATTTTCGTGAGAGTGGAGCAGTTGGACGTTGAATGCAACTACTAGTTCGTAATACGAATTCTGCTATTAAATCAATTGAAAAAAATTCGATTCTTTAATTTTGAAAAAAAAAAAAAACTTTTATAATCCGCGAAGATATATTGAATTTCCTTTGTGTAACATTGCAAATTTCTTTGCATATTTTGTCATTGATTTGAGTTTCAGTTTAAAATTTTAGGAATATGTCCTTTGAAAAAAAAAACTGTAATATTAACTGTAACAATCGTTTCAAACTGTATAAACAATTCATAGAGTCGTTGTCTAGAAAGATACGAAATTTCCTACTGAGTACCTCAACACACTTTAAAAATCTTCACCTACTATTTCAGATATTTTAAATGCAACTTTAATTTTCAATAACTTAAAAACATATGATTTTCTTATCCAATTTCTAAAACCTAGCCATGTCTGGAAAATACGGAATTTTAATTTCATAAAATTAAAATCAGAATTCCAATAGAGCTTTTCCATTTTGTAATTTTAATACCTAAATGGATACGTTGAATCACTTTCCTCCGAATGAAATAGATCTATCTATTTCGTTATTATAGAATATCTTGTAGAGCGAGTCATCAAATATTCTAATCATGATGTTAGAATCTAATAACAATATGCACTATGTTTGGCTACATATAACATGATACAAAATTACAAATGATTTCAAATAATTTTCAATCGTCCGAATTGCCATTTCCAAAAAATAGCATTTCTATTTAATGCATTTTATTTGTACTATGTTGAATATATAAGATTCAAAACACGTTTCGTAAATAAAAATATAATGTTTAAGGATGAAACAGATAATGAATGACCACGATGAAACAAACACTATCTTTTTCCTGCGGGATCGCTATTGAAAACGAAGATCAATTCCTTTGCGATTCAAGCAAAGCATATGAAGGCATTTTCTTTTTAACTACTGAGCTAATTCCATGTTTGATCATTTTGAGCCACAGAACCTAAAAAGTCAAACGATTTTTAATTTAATTTAACTATTTTTTCCTTCTAGTGTCTGATTTTTTATGTACTCAATTAAGCAGAATAAACTGAAGTTGTACTATTTTTAAATAAGATAGAAAATACTTTTTTTCTTGTAAAAAATGATTAGTTACGAAGTAAACAAAAATTTAAAGAGCAAATTTAAAATTAATTAAAAAAAACGTTTTTTATTAATTATATTTCAAAAACAATTAAAAAAATTTTCTAACAAATTTCATTCTAAACATTAAAAAATACTATGTTTGGCTTAATCTAAAAATGAAATTAAAATCTGCACAGTTCATATAGTGTCTTCAATTGAATCTCTGACAGAGAACACTGTCATCGCCCGTGTTTTATAGTGCCAAGAAGTGCATGTTACGTCTTGTAGCATCCATTATAAGTAGAATTTGCAAAAACAAAATAGCAATAAAAATTGTCAGATAAAATTTTACAACTGTGAGGGAAAAACAAGCTTATCTTTAAACATCATAACTTAAAGAGAGCCAAATAACAGTTTTTTTTTTCAAGCAAACCACGCTGGACATTTTCCTTCTAGTAGCATCTCTTTTTCTGTAAGCATATAATTTTCTACTTTCGGAATTACATCTTTTTTATCATTCGAAGGATGGTAATTTTCGTTTAGTTCTAAAGGTTTTAATTTGCTGCTTGATTGAGTACCAATAATATCTTCTTTTATCACAATCAAGTTCTCGACTTCATCTCTAGACTCCGATTCGTTATCTTCTAGATAACTTGAATCTTTTTGGGGAAGAATTTCTGTTTTATTAGCAGATCCATTGAATATTTCTTCCTCAGTAGTGCGCGTAACAGGCACGTACTTGTTTTGCTTCTATTCGGGAGACTTTCCTTCTATTTCAATTTCAAAAGGGTGAATAAATGATATCAATTCTTCCTTTTCGAGTATTCTCAAAGTCATTTGTTCAAAAATCTGCAATTTTTTAAGAAAGGAAAATGAATATGTATAGTATAATAATCGAAGGAAAAAAAAAGAAAGGTTGAAAGAAGTATAACTTTTTAATCTCGTTTAACCTTTAGTTACCTTTGCATATATTCAAACGTAGCGTACTAGGCAGGAAAAAAAGGATATCACCTTGAATAACTTTTGTACTAATAATCGTATTTAGCAATTTTAACGGTTCCAGTAGGATGTGTGACCTCATATATATGCTGACAAATCAGTAGCAGATATGCTAATTAATTAGCAATAAAAGTTTTGAAAACGAGGTATAATTTTTTTTATACAATATTAATATACATATTTTTCTGTTAAGAAATCTAAAGTTTAAACTATTTTTGAAGAGTGGGAGGGGATCCGAGGAAAATTTAAATTAGTTATTTTTAAAGAAATAAATTTCGAAACCCAAAATTTTTTAAGCAGGCAATTGTATTTGGTGAAATCGAATATTTTGCTGAATATAAACCGTAATGGAATGCGACTGATCCTCTTAGTTTTGCTGCCATTTTTTCAGTTTCTTAAGTACCCCACGATCTCAGTTTAAAATGACACTATCGTATTAGATGTATGTATGTAGTGATGGTGATCGAGAATCGTGAAATAAGTTTGTATAAAAACTTGAATTAAATCTATAATGTCTTACTTCTTTAACATTTTCACCAGTCTTGGCACTGCATTCAAAAAATTCAAGATTTTCACTTTTGGCAAAATTTTGGCCTTCTTCAAAAAGTACTTCCCTTCTGTGGAAAAGGTCAGATCGAGCACCAACTGTCAATTATAAAATATTTTCATTAAAAGAAACATGAAATCTCCAGAAAAAAATTGTTATCAACAAATTGTTTTTTAGTGGGAATGTAACATTATTGAGTTAATGCTCAATTCGTTAAATTCGATAAATATGCAACTGTTCTTGAATTATATCAGTGGATACTCTAACATAATGGATAGTTCATCTTATAAAAACGAAAAGGCGCGCAAGCAGCTGAGAAGTGGAGAGATTTCGACACGAGAAGTTGTCTTACCATATGAATGTGTTTCTCACCCTCACTAATATAATCAAACCAAATATTTATTCGCCCAAATATTTTCCATAAATGGAATTTCCAATGTCCATATTAATTTGTATCATCTAAATGCCACACTGCACACATACAGACATATTTTTCCCCATGGTATCTCCATGCAGAAATTTGTAAAGTTTCAAACATGTGTATTTTGTATCAAACCTAAGGGTTACAAACTGAAGATTGCACTATCTCCATGGTCATAAACAACCCTTGCATTACTCGGCAAAAGATTTAGATAAGTATTTTTATTTCAGAAACCCTATCCAATTAAAAACAGCTAGAAATATTCCGATATAAATATTTATTTTTAAGCTATCTGTGAAAATAAAATGCTAGAAGTTGTTACTTATGCCACTTGCCAATATCAGCAACCGTGCTGTGGGTAAACATAGCGAATTTGGAAGGTAGAGGGTGCGTTTCTTGTTTTTAAGTGGCGCCATCTACGGCCAAGCATACGATTCAAGTCACACGCACACATCACAGTCCATTTTACAGCGATGACCAATTCATTCATACACGGATCGTAATTTTGACCTTAAGCTGAGAACGATCAATCTCCAATTCAGTACCTCCAGAGGTATTGATTTTTTTTATCGGAACTTGGAAGACTTTGTGACTCCGGCAGATTCAACGTGCACCAGTCACCATTTGATGCACGGGGATTATTCGACCTGCGGGATTCGAACTCGTGATCTGAAGAACACGAGCCCAACGTCCTACAAACCAGGCTATCTCGGTCCAAATACTAGAAATAATTAGTAATATAAATACTTATGAATATGATTGCTTCTGGAGCTAAATCCCTCATTATCTCACGCCATTCTCGAAGTTTCTCAAAGGTACGAATGTTTGCAGTATCATAAAGCAGAAGAATACCGTGTGCATCTTGAGTTATCCTGGAATAAAAAAAAATTTAAATATATCAGCAGCATTATCAATAAATATTTTTTTAACTGTTGCTGTTGCTCTTCGAGGAGAAAAGTTTATTACTAAAGGGTCTTTATTTACTATTAAGGTAAATATAAAAATAAATTCAGGAAGATTAAAAAAAATAAAAGGATAAAGTAGGCATACAAAAATAATTAGTTGTGGTAGTACATTATTTAAATCGCTTTAGGGCTACAAAATGGGCTAATGGAGATGGTCTGGCAAACACCCCAGGATGATCTGAACACACGCCATCATAGTTTTGATCCTCAATAGAGAGGATGGCTCCCCGCTTTGACAACCCAGATATCTGGGTGCAAGGGCGCCGGCAACGGGGTGCAAGTGGGTGCACTTGCACCCCCTCCCCTGGCTTTTTTTTTTAAGCAATTAAAGCGATACAGAAAAACAATTTTGTTATAAAAAATTTTTATTAAAAATATTTTTATTCAAAAACAAATAAATAATTGATACATAACAATTAAATTTTTTTTAATCAAACAAGAATTGTAATCGTCTTGTTTACTGTCCAAATCTGTTCATAACTTTTTCAATGAATTCTGAGTCATCTTTGATACTGTTCTTATGCACACTGAGCATGCTCAAACGTGGCAAATATCTAAGCTATATTTTTAAATTTCATTTAATAAAATATAAATAATATTATATTTTGTATTAGTTATTTAGTTTAACTAAGGTGTATAGCACAAACTGACTTCTCACAACTGTAAGACTTCATCAACACAATAAATACCAATGTTAAGCATGCACAAACACGTTAGTATACGAAACTACTATCGTAGTTATTTGTGTTTCAAAGTCAGTAGCTATACCAGCGCCATCAGTACAGTTTCTCGTGGCAGAATTTGCAAGTACAAGAAATTCGTACTATTTTTTTAAAATATCTTGTTAACAATGAAGAAATGTATGCTGAAAAAAATTAACAGATGAAAGTATATGTAATAACAAAACAAAATGCAATATCAGAACATTTTAATTTTTTTTTTGGGGGGGGGGATAGTTTATTAGAGGGTTGCACCCCCTTTTATATTATTCTGCCGGCGCCCTTGTCTGGGTGTGAAGTCGAGTACTTTACGATAGAACAATTTAACGAGGATCGATATCGCTCACCCTCATTCCCTTCGCTGGCTGATCAGGGGTCACCCACCCACACTGACACATACACAAACCACTGGTTCATTGTCCACAGCCAGTGATGCTTTACCTTGGTGATCTTCTTGAAACTAAGTCTTACAAACAATTCATTGTAAGATAGGAAAAGAATTTAAAAGAAATCGCAGAAGTGCACTGGGCCGCAAACGCAACCAACAGTCACAAATTATACGCAAATAATTAAGTTTTTTTAAACGTCTTGAGGGTACTAACATTTTCAATATCAAAAATATGAAGAATATCGTGTGGATTTTCCGACATTTTGGAAAGAAAAATTTTAAGTAGATTCTAACTGGATCATCAAAACAGTTTTATTTTTTTTATTTTTTAGGTGAAGATTTTATTACTTAAGGATTTGAACTTATTATTAAGGTAAATGTCAATCAATGTTCCTGTCCCACCCACTTCTGGTCATCCAGGAAATTTTATTGTATTCTAACATCATCACATACAATCTGGCAACAAGCTTGTTTGTTATTAGGAGAATTTTAATAATAATGTAAGCTATACAGAATTTATTTAAAAATAATTTTGCATTAACTTTTTCAAACTTTTCTTCTTTATATTCTAGTAAAATTAGATATAAATTAAGAAATAAAGGAAATGAGCCTTTTAAATAATTTTTTTCCCTCGGAAACTCACATTATACGATAATATAAATTTACCAAAATGAGTTAAAATTAAGGGAAAAATTTTAAATTGGTTTAAGACTAGAAAAGAATTAAATAGAAATAATGATTTAAGGTTAAAATGGAACAAGCCAGCTTAAAAAAGCATCAAATATCAGTATTTGATTAGGATAAAAGCGATAAAAATTTAAATTCAGCATAACTAATTGAGCAATTCTAAATCCTTGTTATGGCCCCCTACCGTCCCTTAAAGTTTTTCCCAATAATCCTGAGGCACCCTGCATTCAACAAATTTTGTCATGGGTAATAAAAATAAATATTAATTAAGTTACGACACAGTGATAATGTAAGAAAATAGTATAATCAAATAAAATTTTTATTGGTAAATATGTTATATTTTGCAAAAAGTAAGCTATATTTAGCGCTAAAATGTAACAAATTTGATTTAAAAATGACTTTTTTATACTCACCTTGGTACCAATCTGCGATATCTCTTTTGACCACCAATTACTCCAATAAATAATTCCACATCTTTATCCTTTACCTTAAGTTGTTTAAAGAAGTAGTGATAGCCCCATTTCTGATTAAAATTTTCTAAAATGATGATCAACCCTTTAGTTGAAGTAAAACTTTAACTGACAAACATGAGTGAAATATAATCAGATAAAAGTACCAACTATGTACACTCTTAAGCATCTAATTTTTTTTAAAAAAAAACCTTCTTTCTAAATTTTATTTATTCTTTCTTCTCAAGTCATAACAATGTTCTATATTTTTGTGCAATGATATCACTGCTATTAATGGTAATTGAATTATTATTATTTTTTGTTTCAATACATACAAATTTGAAAATTTATGGAAAATTGTCCAAGCAGAAGATAACAGAGAAAAGGAGAATAGAGTTAACCCTGTATCCGCACGGATTTGTAGCGCCACCTAGTATAACTTGTAACACTGAGAAAAAGAGTGTGTGTGGAAGGAGAGCTGTAACGAGCTACAAAAAAGCTCTCTTCCAAATAATAATAAATAAATATTGTGAATTTACAGTCCGCTTCTTTTTGTTTATTGAGCGAGTTCATATTTACCTGAGCGTCGACAAACCCTTTGACGCAGAATAATTTATGGACATGAAATACAGCATGAAACACCGGTGTCGGCGTGAAAGGTAAAATCTTTCAAACACGGCTCATTTCCAAACAATAATTTTTTCAAATTTGCAATTACTTAGATCTAAGAGAAACAGTTATTCTTCATTGAAGTTTCTTTAATTCACAAAATAAATTAAGGATAAATTTTTGAAAAATACCAAAATATACTTTTGCTTGTGACTAAAGCATCAGAAAAAAATATATAAAAAGGACACCGGTATTCCAAATGCGGTAAAGGGTTAAAAACATGAGATACTTACAATTCCGGTAGCAGAAATCCTCTAGTACGGAAACGGGAGATGCAGATTATCAGAGCATCTGCAGATTTATTTATTTTTCATCAATAGATTTCAAAAAAGTCAGATTTGAAAATTACTACGAGGAGAAACAGAAAAGACCTTTTTTTTTTTTAACCCTAAACGTACTCAATTACTATTTGTCTCAAGTCCTTATAACAAAACTGCTTTTAGCCAATTTGCAGATGTATAATCAAAAGAAAAGTGATTGACTAACAAAATTTCCAAATAATTGACTTAAATTAATTGGAATTTCAAAAAAGAAAAATTTTAATTGCAAAAAAAAAGGAACTTAACACGGGAAACTTTTCGTTGTTAACTTTTCGTAAAATTATACCAATTTTTTAACTTTCCAATATTTAATTATTTAATCCATTTAAGAGCGTGTAATTTTTCAACTTTATATGTGCTAATTTGCTGTACACTGAGCAAAAAATAAAAACAAGCAAACCACCCTGAATAACTTTTGATCTAATGATCGGCTCGTATCGTTCTCATGGTTTCACAATCCTAGTAGCTCAAGAGGGTGACTTCAAATATGCTAATTAATAAATGCAGATGATATTTGAAGTTACGAAAAAGGTACTTTCTCTGAATAAACATACCTTTTTTGCGACTGATTCGGATTTCTGACCCCCAAACTATAAGGGTAGCCTTAATCTGGGAAATATGGTCAGGAGAGCAATTCACACCCCTTAATGTTAATTTTACTGTTTGCGTATTTTGCTATATCTCGAGAACTTTCTAACGAAATTGAAAAATTACTGCACACAATTATAAATTTCGTTTATCCAAAGATAAATCAGTGCAAAAAATAACTTTGAGTTAAATTTATAAATTTTTATTATTTTATTTAAGAATGCTTGAAAAATAAACAAAATCGGTCTAGTAGTTCTTGAGAAATCGAATAATAAATACCTGAAATTTTTGAAATTCCATTTTCTCATGAACAATTTAACTGTACCAATTAATTTGTATTTTGCTGTGTAAAATTATATTCTGTTAAAAGATGTAAAAAATTGTGCACAATTTGAAATTTTTTGGACCATTATCAAATAAAATAATAAAAAATATTTTCTAAAATTTCATTTTTTTTTCAATTTTATTCAAAAAAGTTCTCGCGGTGTAGCAAAATAGGGAAAATGTAAAATTAATATTAATGGGTCCAAACTTAGGAGCACCCTTTTGACTAAACTATTGAGACCATGTTTCCTAGATTGCGGCTACACTCTATATTTTGGGGTAAGAAATCGGAATCCATCGAAAAAAAGGCATGTTTATTCAGAGAAAGTACGTTTTTGTGTCTGATTTCGCAACTTAAAATATGGTCTGCACAAATTAATTAGCAAATTTGAGGTCACCCCTTCGAGCCATTAAGATTGAGTCCTAGACTGTGAAGATCCGATTATTAAATCAGAAGTTTTTCCAGGGAGGTCAATTTTTTTTCCACACTGCACGCATGCTAAAGTAAGCCGAGTATTTATAATAAAATTTTGACTGTTTTAGCGTAGCAGGCAAATTTAAAATTATGAAAATAGAGTGATGCAGATTGACTCTGAAAATTCTGCTACCGGGGTTACTATAATGCACAGTGCTCCTGCTATGAATTTATGGGGATGGATTTTTTTTAGATGTCAAGATTAAACCTTTTTTTTTTTTACTGCACAATAAATTCTTCTTCTAAAGGGAATTCTAACGAATTTTCATTCGTCACACAAATGGTACTATTGCTGAGACTTATTATTCAGTTAACATAACATTATCATGAATATTATTTTCAAAAATATAAATGTATCATACTTGACAATAAAATCATTAAACTATTATCTTAAAATTAATTTTTAAGAAAATATGGCTTAAACAAAAATTAATTTTCATGTAAATTACCTTTGAATTTTCCAGTGGTATATTTTCGAAATAAACATGTTTTTCCTACGTCTGAAATTTAAAAAAAATAATAATAAATTGTGTTCTTGCTTATCAAAACAAATTAGCGAAACTTAGAGCAAAATAGAAATATTTAATTCATGTAGTATAATTAAACTCTAATGCTAAAACAAAACAAATTAACACTAACTAATAATAATAATTAATTGCTTTTTGATCACGAATTTAAAATTCTCAAACCTTATAATATCAGGACTTTTAAGCATTTGGCGTAAAATTTTATTTCTATATTGAAAGTGGTAGTAAAATGTATGCTTTCTATATATTACTTGCATTTATAAACTTATTTTATAATCTTTTTGACCACCACTATTTTTAAGAAAATTAAGCACATGTATTAATATGTAATACTGTTGTGGTAGTCCGCATAAGCTATTTCAAAATACAGCGTATGCTTCTACCTAAAATTTGTAATTTAAATTCCATTTTACAACCACTGGGGAAAACCATCCTCGAAAGGATTAAAAGTTAGCAGGCATGCAGCACATAATCCTTGTAACCAATAGAGATGAGAGTTGAGCAAAACCAGCAAATTACGCAACCAAACATTCATACGTTACATATCTGAGTACACACATTTAGGACATAAATCATTTTATAGCGACGTGACATCAATCACGTTTTCTGCTTTTATTATTATTTATGAACTCTAAGTTTGTATTTCTATTTATAGTGTAATATTTCTTCCCGAAAACCACATCCATGTATGCCTCCAATTGTTTTCAAAAAGTAATCTATGTCCTCAAGGAGCTCAATAAGCAACAACAAAGTTAGTGTCAAAGAAGTTTACATGGCCTTCGATGTACCAGGATGTCAAGATATTCATTAAGACCTGTCTATCTTGTCAAAGTTTCAAGATACAGCGACAAGTATATAAATCGCTTGGGAAGTACCTACCTACATTAGAAAGAATCGACAAAATTCAACTTGACATAATTGGACCTTTGAAGAACATCCTCAGAACATTCAAAATTAAAAATCTTAGAACGTTAACAATTCCAGAAGCATCTCTATAAATCGTTTGAAACAATCTGCAGACTTGAAGAGCACTCCTTCGATTATTCACAGTCAGCATACCACCAGCTATTCATAAATAAGCTACTCCAAATATTAAAGTGAAAATGGTTAGAAAGAAGGCTGCTTTCAACAAGACATCAAGTGTTAGGAGACCTACTAAAGTTTCATCTAAATTTCTCGTCTCGACACATTCAAATGAGGTTTTTACTAGAAGAAGAGTAATGAAGCGACGTGACGTCAAGCACGCATTTCTAAACTATTTTATAATTATATATGAACTCTAAGTTTGTATTCATCTTTAAATTCGAAATTGCACTTCTAGTTATTCTGTTTACTTTGTTTTTGTGCTTTTCGCATCAGAAGTATTTGATGCCAAATTTATCTAAAACGCATTTTATATAAATTCTAATTTAATGTGAACAGTATTTATTAAATGTGTGTATTCATCAAGCTATTCATTTGGCTTCAAGTTAAGTCTCAACTTTTGGATGTCAATAAAAAGAAAATAATAGATTTAGTACTTTTTTAAGGCTAGCCGAAATCTTTTGTCTAGGGCAAAAAAAGTTAAAAAACTTATTTCAAGCTAAATTCATTTTTATTACCAATTAAAAGTGTCAAATAAATGTAAAGACCAATTTCAAGTTTTTTAACGCAAATGCTCATTTACTTGCTTACACTGTCTTTTAATTTTTTGAGGTAAATAATTTTTTAAAGCATATTATTTGCTTTAAAATGTAGTGTGTTTATATATTTTATTTTCAAGCCTTTAATTTAAACCATTGTCAAAAGTGAAAACGTAATAATAACAGACAAATTTTTGGAAGATTAATAAATATTTCAGGTAAATACTGTAAAATAAAGGATAAATAAATAACATACGCGTAAAAACCTTTTATTAATTTTAGGCTGATGGCAAGGTAAAGATATGCAGATCTTCTTGATGTATTTAACCTCATATTATATAATTTATCTGTTATAGCCGTCATTATCTTCAAAAGATTTTTATGTACCGCGCGCAAAACAATAATAAAATAAAAAAATGGACTTCCGGAATAACTTTTGATCTAATGATCGGATCTTCACTTTCTAGGACTCAATTTTAATGATTATCGCGGAGGTGACCTGAAATATGTGTTAATTAATTAGTGTAGACGGTATTTTAAATTACGAAATCAGACTCGAAAACTTACTTAGTCTAAATAATTTTTTTCGACAAATACTGATTTATGTTACCCAAAATATAGGGGTAGCTGTATTCTAAAGGATATGGCCCCCACAGTTTAGTTAGGAGAGCGGTCCAAGGTTTGGACCTCTTAATGTTAATTTTAATTCCTGCATATTTCGTCATATTTCCAGAACTTTTTAAGCGAAATGAAAAATTTTTGCTCACAATGATAAAAATCGTTTATCCAACGATCATAAAATGCAAAATATAACTCTCAGTCGATATTTATTACTTCTTATTATTTTATTTAACAATGGTTAAAAGAATTTTTAAATGTAAGGTATATAAATTTTTACATCATTTTAAAGAATGTAATTTTATACAGCAAAATACAACATTTGAGCGAAATAGGTCAAGTAATTTCTGGGAAATTGAATTTTAAAGAAGCAGTTTTTCAAAATTTGATTTCTCAGGAGCTCAAATTTTGTATTTTGCCATGTAAAATTACATCGTTTAAAATGCTGTAAAAAATTTTATACCTTACAATTAAATTTTTTTCCAATTATTATTAAATAAAATAATAAAAAAAATAATAAATATGCACTAAAAGTTATATTTTGAGTGGAATTATGTTTGGATGAACAAATTTTATAATTGTGTGCAAAAATCTTTCAATTTGTTTAACAAGATATGGCAAAATACACAAAAAATGAAATTAGCATTAAGGGGTCTAAACTTTAACCCTCTCTCATGATCAAAGTATGGGGGCCATATTTCTAAGATTGCAGCTTTCCCCTGTATTTCGGAAGTCTGAAATCCAAATCCGTCGAAAAAAGGTATGTTTATTCAGAGAACGTGAAAATCCGATCATTAAATTAAAAGTTATTCAGGGTGGTCCGTTTTTTATTTTGCGCACTGTACATTTAAACAAAAAAGATCTCGTTCTTAGTATCTGTTTCCATTGGTAAATTTTTGAAAGGATATCAAAATGGGCTTACCTGTGATTTCTTGCTGCTATAAAAAAAAGAATATGAAAGATGAATTCCAAACATGGTACCATAAAGTTTACTATCTTAATTCGATTTATTTTGATTTATGATTGACATTTTAGGAACAAGATCAATTGTCTTTGATTTCAATGGCAACCAATTTCTAACTGAATCTTTTTAAATGTCATTAAAATAAAAGTTTTTCATTGAAATTGAAAATTACGCCATCTATCGACGAAAAGTTTTAGAAACTGAAAAGTATCTTTCTTAGTATTTTTTTTACACATTTATTTAAAAGAATTATTAATTTCCAATAGAAAAAAAAGTGGCATAATCCAAATTGCAAAAAGTAATATTTCATTATCATTATGAAAAAGTGAGATTACTCACCGGATTCTCCTAGTAAGACAATATTAAACCCAAACTCAAGCTTAAATTGTTGACTTTCGTTATCCATTCCATTTGTTATGTTACTCGTTCTGTTTGTTTTATTACCCATTCCATTTATTTTGTAACATTTTCCATTCAAGACTTCGCTGAACAACCGACCCTAATATTCAATAATAATGTCGAAATCAACTTTCATCTGTCGTGTGATAATCTCTTATCTAAATGAAAGAGTTCCTTTCGAAGCTATGAATCTCAATAAAGTGAGATAATCTACGAAAGTTACGTCACAACCTACGTAATAGTTATGCTGTAGCATCAAGTTTCACTTTGGATTTATAAATTCAAGGCACAAGAGTTTATTAAGCAATGAAATAGAAAGAAGGATCAAATGACGGTATATATATATATATATATAATAAGTGAATATGTCCGAAANCAATGAAATAGAAAGAAGGATCAAAAGACGGTATATATATATCACAAATATTGTACTTTATCTTTCATTATTATTTTTATTTAAGTAATAACAATGATGATAATCAGTAGAAAATTACATTTAAGAAAAATAGTCACTTAATTCCTTTAACCTATTTTCGATGGATTAGGATTTCTGACCTAACAAGCTCAACAAGCTAACATAGGGGGCAGCCACAATCTGAGAAATATGGTTCCTGTAGTTTGATCAGGAGAGCGATCCAAAGTTTGGTCCCCTTAATGTTCATTTTACTTTTCGTGTTTTTTGCCTTGCACTACTCAGCAATAATGGACAAGACACTCCATGCATGACACAAGTTAGTCATGCATAACAAATCCATACCCCTGGGGGTACTGATCCTGGAGTTTCTTTGTCTTCTGAATTGTTTCAAAATTACAAGGCTACGGAGTTGAGCATTAGGAGTCGTAAACACAAAATTAGGTCGGCTGTTCAACGACAGGAAAAATAAAAATAAATACCATAGCCTTGAATTGAGTGCAGAATAAAATATATTTTTAGAGATTCCCTCTACTTCTGCCTAACGCATTAGCATAAAATCGAAAACCATTATATGGTTACTAATGCTTTGATTTCATTAAAATTCATCAGGACTTCTCCCTCTTTCTTTTCAGCCAACGTATTCGAATGCGTAAGGCTATAAAAAAAGAGCCTCGGCATTAAATTAGATCAATTGACAGCCAATATACGAATTTCTTAACTTTCCTTCGAAAAACTATTACAACGTACGCATTACACTTGCATTTCTGATGCACAGAGGTGCATTGTGGATCTTGGCCTATTCACATATTAATTCACCATTTTCTACGTTTTATTATAATATGTATGAATCATTTTTTTTTACTTTGGAGCTCCATAACATTACACATAAATTTCAAAAGTAAAACATTTTTATTTATTCCAATCTAATTTTTTATTAAGCAAGTTATGATTTTCGTTAAATAATTGCTTGCCTACATCGGACTGGAATAATATATGGACGACAACACCAATCAACATCCTCTTCAACGAATGGTAAATTCATTGAACTTCTTCAACTTATGATAAAAACACCCAACCTTTCAATTAATGGAATCGAAACTAACTAGAACTCATTAACATCTTCAACTTATGGTAAAGGCTAATCAAACCTCTTCAACAAAGTATAAATTTCCTCTAGCAATCAAATCTTTTTCCCTTGAAATAAATTGTGCCGAGATCAGGATATTTATTTATTGAAATTTATTTCATTTATTGAATATTATTTTATATATTGATATTTATTTTATTTATTGAAAAAGGATTTTTAAAATGATAGGAAAAATGTTATGCATATTTCAGCATGACAATTATTATCATCATTATTATGAATAAAAAAAATAATTGAAATTTCAAATTAACCGGAAAAAACTTCATTGAGATGTCGAAAATCTTTTAATTTCAGATTGTAACACTATCTCCCCATTTTGATTGGGCCATTTATGGTCTGAATTTTGTTCTAGACATCTTTTCAAATCAATTTGTGTATAAGAATCATATATGGCAGTACTTTTACTTTCGTTACTTGTACCGCCGGTACAAGTAAAAAGTACGTACTTTTACTTGCACTTCGTTACTTTTTAAATTTAGTACTTTTACTTGTACTTTCGTTACGTTTTAGGGAAAAAGTACAAGTATATGTAACGGAAATGTCGAATGAAATCGTTACTTTTTTCTAAAACTCGGTAAGCTTTCTAAAAAAAAAAGATTAAATTAAAAATAAATGCTTATGTTTTTTTTAATTCATAAAATTGATGTGCAATATATACGTATTCACTGCTAACTTCGTGTTTAAATACCTTGACCTTTGAAAATTGTCACTCCTGAAAGGGAAAAGACGGCTCTTTTGAACTGCGAAAGGTTTCGCGATGTGAAATCGCAGTACGATTTATTGTTTGCTGCAGGTCTGGTACCCTGCATCAAATTTAATTGGTCGGAAGAATAAGCTAGGGAGGAGGCTACAAAAGAAATTGGAAAGAATTGTCCAAGCTGAACACCCTGTTATAACTAATAACGTAACAGAAAAAAAACCCCAGGAAATTTAAATTTTCTAAAGCTGA